GGCCAAGCCCCGCTTTGGAGTGAAGGGAGCGAGAGAGGCGGCCTTGGAAACCCCGAGAAGCGGGACAGAACTGCTGTGGGGACTTTCTGGGCCAGGTATGTGCCCTTCCCTGGGTGGTTTGGACTACAACTCCCATCACAACTGCCATGCCGGCTGGCGTCGATGGGAACGGGAGCCCGACGTCTGGGGTTCCCTGGCTCCCCAGCTTGGTTTATGACCCTGGCCCTGAAGTGCTCATCTCTACCCAAGAGCCCAGTTGTGCAGCCCTCAGAATGAGGGATAAGGAGGCAGAGACATTCAGCGGTAACCTCCGTGTTACTGCTGGCCATGTGACAGCCATGAGAGAGCCGCTTGAATAGCCTTTCTGTACTAGATGGCACTCACTGACCAGCCCCTCCTGTGGTTTTTCCACCACAAGAACCAATGGTTCTTCAATTACAAGCAAAAGCTCATAGTGCTGCCCTTATGGACACAGGGCAAGGACAGAGTCCTACACACGACAGCAGAGAAGATGCATGCCTAGCGGTGTCCATTGACCATTAAGACCCAGGACCACAGAAAGCTCCAGCTGGGTGTTATCTAGGGATACGTAACATGGTGCCCTCTACATGTTTTGCAACCAGGGCCAATGATTAGGAATTAGCCCAAAACATTTAGAAAGTGCTAGTTACATACCTCCCTTCTTAAATGCATCTAGGAGAACTACAGAAAACATTTAGAAAGTGCGAGTTACGTACCTCAGCCCTTCTTAAATGCATCTAGGAGAACTACAGGAGAACTATTTCCCTTTAAGATTCTTCTTCCCTTGTGTTCCCTGCTGCCACTCTCCACCCTGTAACAACAATGACAAATTATATAATTATATACAGAGAGGTCATTATACTTCTGTTGAGAAAGTTGTTTGCTCTCAGCCTCAGTTCTCTTTCTGCAAAACAGGATTTGTAGTAATTTAGCTCATAGGACTGAGAAGTCAAGGTACCATCAAGACTGAGAACGCAGTTCTAGAAACGTGGTTGCCCCAGTCTGGCATGAGGGGACCTACAGGTGGGGATGATAGAAGTGTAGTCCAACATGTCTGCCAGGCGCAGGATGGGGAGAAGTTGCTAATAAACGAACGGCAGGGCAGGCAAGCAGGGAAAAAGACCTTTCCAGAACTGGCACCCAGTGTGAGTAGATCTGGTTTTCCACAGAGGCATGCTGGACTCTTGACTCTACCCTTTTTATGATGTCAAGCAAAGACCCTCATCTTTGGAACACCTTTAGCCCCGGAGATTCGACTGGCACCCTAGCTAGGAATTTAGTAATTCTTTATCCCATCTAGGATCCTGTTTTATTTATTGATCTTTCTGCTCTTATGATCAAAGTTATTTTAATGCTGTTTTTATCATTATATTCTGTAAGCCACCCAGAGTAGATTCCAAAATCTAGATGGGCGGGGTAAAAATGGCCCAAATAAAATAAAATAAAATAAAATAAATAAAATATTGTTTTATTTACCCAGAGCTTTTAACCTCTTTCTGATTTTAATGTTAACTGTTGCTAGTTCTCTTTCACCACTAGCCTCAAAGTCAAATTGAAGAGCTGGATATTTAACATAACTGTTATTATTGTTGTTGTTGTTGTCATCCTCGCTGTCACCATCACCACACGGTTATATGTGGAATCTTTCTCTTAGCGTTGTTGGGATTGTGTGAGTTCCTCTTATTGCCAGTTGTGTATCTTCAAACTAGTTCTGTAGCAATGTAAGTAGCCAGGGAACGTGCTCCAAGTGAGTCTAAAAGAAAAAAAAGCCAGTTTGTCCAAACAGTGACAAAAATAGCAGCGTTTGGAACCTTTCTTGGCATCATTTTGTAAAATACATCCTAAAGCCGGCTCATTCCAAAGATCCACCAAATAAAAAATTGCAACTCCTGCCTGTAAAGTGAGGGAGGCTGTGTGTGCTGTTGGTCCATCTGCCTTTGCGCTCCGCAGCTGTCTGCTGTGTGACTTGTATCTCCATTCCTGAGCTTTGCCCAGATCAGTGGGGTGCTTTGTGAGTTGAGTTGCTCAGGGATCTACAAAGGGAGCTCTGTGTCTTGGCCGGGGAGGGGACTGTGCAGTAAACAACAGGAAATCCAACTTGGCACCAGGTCTGAGCAGCTGGGAGCTTGGGAGGGACCTCCGGGCCTCAGCTGCATTGCAGGCCTCAGCTGCACGTCTTCAGGCCAAGCTCAGATCCTGCAAACTTGGGGCCCTCTCCGGAACCCCCTTTCCCCGTCCCATGCTATTTCTTTCCCTCTTCTCCCCTTGGAGGCAATTTTCCACCAAATGTTTCAGTGGGTTGTTTTGCTCAGAGCATGTTTTCTGTCCTAAGAAAATGGCAAACCCTAGTTCTTAAGGCACAACCCTTGATTCTGTTTTCAGATTTAATATTAGGTGATGCAAAAGGAGACTGTGCCTCTGAGCAAGGATGGAGGGGCTTGCCAAGGGCTTTTTAGCTGAGAGACATTTCCAGGAACTCTTGAGGCACAACAGCTTATTTTAGACATTATGGCCTGGCATTTTGGTTGGGAAATCCTGGTGATAATAAAAGTCCCTCTAGCACAGACATGGCCCCCGTTTTGCCCACAGGCTGCACGCAAACCCAAAAGTTATTTTTGAGCTCCTCTGCCACCAAAACTGGTGCTGGTACCACCAAACCCACAACATAACTGTTTATGAACGCTAGCAATGTACACAGCAGAGATGGGTAATGGTTTATCTCCATATATTGTTGAACTGCAACACTCAACATCTTTAGCCAGCATCGCTGATGGTAAGGAATCATGGGAGTTGCAGTCCCACAATACAGGAAGGGCTGGGAGTCTGTGAGTTATTAATTTTAGCTTCTAGGTTTGCTCATGCAATCTGCAATGACTGTCCTCCTGCTTCCCCTTTGGCAAGACCCTCAAGATCAGCTCCCTGCTTTTCCTGCATACTCAAGTTAGGTATCTTTACTCATCCTGTAGGAGGATGTTTTTCTGGCCATCATTGAATACTCCTGATGTTGTAGCCAAGTTTCAGAAATAGTTGCAATAGCCTCAAATTTGGTGTCTGCCACCAATTTTCAGCAGCAACTGCAGTCATCTGCAACATGGATGTAGTGCTGCTGGTTATTTATCATAGAGGTAAACTGAGGCATATGCATTTTCTGGGTGCTGAGCTGGTGAAGGAAGGGAACTAACCTAGAAATAAAGTCGGAATTCCTAGCTTAACCGAAGCAAGAGAAAAGGGGATATGTATGTCATAGTGACACATGGATACAACTTTCTATAGGAAGTAATTGGCAAAGGATATTATCTTCCAGAAGCATTACTCCTACCAACCTAGAACCTTCCACAACAGTTTCTAATAGGCGCCTTTGACATGCATGGTAAATACAGTAACTGGGGTTTGATTGAGCAGTTCAGAAAGCTGAGAGGTGTAAAAGAATGGTTATGAAAGGTACTATGAGCTGATTGATCTGTATAGTTCTTGGATGATTTGGTTCTGTTTTGTATAAAACAGTGGGTGCGAGAGGGGCAGAAGTGGTCAAGCAGAGGTATGAGGCAGTTGATTCAGAGCAGCTCTTTGGCAACTTTGCTATATATATAGTGTGTGTAAAGGTTTATATTTGCATGCATGGTAAATAATTGGGGTTTGATTAACCTTTGGAATATATACAGTATCAGGAGTGGCAGTTCAGAAAGCTGAGAAGTGTAAAAGAATGATTATGAAAGGTACTGTGAGCTGATTGATCTGTATAGTTCTTGGACGATTTGGTTCTGTTTTGTATAAAACAGTGATATATATAGTGTGTGTAAAGGTTTATATTTGCATGCATGGTAAATAATTGGGGTTTGATTAACCTTTGGAATATATACAGTATCAGGAGTGGCAGTTCAGAAAGCTGAGAAGTGTAAAAGAATGATTATGAAAGGTACTGTGAGCTGATTGATCTGTATAGTTCTTGGACGATTTGGTTCTGTTTTGTATAAAACAGTGGGTGCGAGAGGGGCAGAAGTGGTCAAGCAGAGGTATGAGGCAGTTGATTCAGAGCAGAATTCAGAGCTAAAATGAGTGTAGTCTGTTTGTGAAAAGATTGTGAATAATAATATGGGGTTTTCTTGTGAAAAAGTTGTGAATAATAGTGTGTGGTTTTTTTTAAAATTATTTGTGTAAAAGCAAATATCTATCCATCTATAAAGAGCAGGATATTTTTAACATTATAAAGAAAAGTAAGGGTTTATAATGAAATACTAAAGGAACCGACATCTAGAGAAGCTCTTTTCCCTTGCACACAATACCAGAACCAGGGGACATCCACTCAAATTGAGTGCTGGGAGAGTGAGAACAGATCAAAGAAAATATTTCTTTACCCAGCATCTTGTTAGTCTGTGGAACTCCTTGCCACAGGATGTGGGGATGGCATCTGGCCTAGATGCCTTTAAAAGAGGATTGGACAGATTTCTGGAGGAAAAGTCCATTGCAGGTTGCAAGCCATGATGGGGATGTATAATATCTAGGCTTAAAAGGCAGGCATCTCAAAATGCCAGATGCAGGGGAGGGGTATCAGGAGACAGGTATCTCGTTGTCTCATGTGCTCCCCAAGGCCTCTGGTGGGACCACCGTGAGATACAGGGAGCTGGACTAGATGGGCCCTTGGCCTGATCCAGCAGGGCTCTTCTTATGTTTTTACAACAGTTTCAATATTGTTCGTACATTTTATTTTTTATATATCTTACTGAACTCTTTATTGCTATGTATGTTTGTGTGTTTTAAAAAAAACTCTTTTTGGTTTGCAAACCTTGCATATTGTTTTATAGATAGCAGCATGCATGCAGCCACAAGACATTACATCCACCTATACTGCTGGTAAACGCTCAGATGTTTGGCTTATTCAGCATCACAAAACAAACAAGTTTCTTGTGTTTCACAAGATTCCTTCTTACTTTTTAGAAGGGCAGCGTAAATATGCGTGGCAGAGTTTGAGCAGCAGTGTAAATGGGAACATTAGCTATTTGCCTGGACTGGTGATATAGTAATCTGTAAGAAAGGCGTCCCTGTTCACAGGTTTAAATAGCAACCCCAAATATAGTGTAGGCGTTTGGGAGTGGTTGTCCTTTGAATTGACAGAAACAGGTAGAGAAAGTGTGTGAGCGACACAGCCTCCTTTACTGATATGCTCTGTTAGCATTCTTTTCCAGAGATGTGGGTTACTGGATTTAGTCTGTTGTACTAGAAAGAAAAGAAGGCTAATGTCCTAATTTATTTTGACATATATTTTTGTGGACTCCAGCCTTCTTGCTTCTAATGGAAACGTTTGCTGTCCGTCAGATATTTAAAGTGCTACAAGACCTGTTGTTGTTGTTGTTGTTGTTGTTGTTGTTGTTCTTAATCTAAGATTCCTTTATCTTGGCTTTCTTGTCGTCACTGTATTTCTGAAACTGAAATCTTTGGTTGGTTTCAGCGATTTCTGTGCTTTCTGTGTCTGATTTCATTCATATGTTTTCTGAGGATGTGAGAACATCTATTTGAGATTATCTATCAGGGGTGTGTTGTTCCAAACAAATGCTCTTCAACACCAGCTGAAGACTTTCCCACTGAAGCTGGTTCATTGCGTAAACATTTTGGGAAGGCTACATTGAAGGCTCTGGATTCCAGTCTTAACCTACCAAACTAAGCTTTCAATCAAAGCTTTATTAATATTTCCCAACATTCACTGATATCCACTGACTCCTTCTCACCACTGCCAGAAGGACAGTCTAAACAGCTCATATGTGCACATTCTGCATCAAGAAGGCAAATCAGCATGCCCGTCATACACAAATCTAGGACTTAACACATATATATGGGTCCAGCAGTGTGCATTGATGAGGATCAACTTCTGAGCCTCTCTCTGCCTGCCTGTCCTAACTATGTCACATTTGAGGTATATTTGAGGACACATGCCCAGTCATCTGTGCATCTTCGAACTGTAATGTTTATCCAACCAAGAATATGTGTGGCTTGTGTGCAACTAAATCTCCATCTTGCTCAGCGTGTGCGTTGCAGGGTGTGTCTGTTGAACTTGAGACTTCCTTCCATGTACATGTAGAACTTATAATAAGCTTGTTAGTGACCTGGTTATAACGCTGAATGGTGAATAAGGCTAAAGGGGTACCGGTAGTAGATCTCTCACAAAACCTGGTTATAATGATGAATGGTGAATAAGGCTGAAGGGGTACCGGTAGTAGATCTCTCACAAAGAGGGCCTAGGAAAGATCAGCTGGAACCCAACTGAATATTTATGCTTGCATAAGTGCAGTGGTGTACTTAGAACAGGAAATAGCCACTGATTAATGAGTTCCTGATTTAATTCCTGGCATGCCGCTAGGAATTCAGCTGCTTGCTACTCAGAGTTACACCAGACAGACGTATTCAAGCAGGTTCTGCCCATACTCTGTTATCACGTCATCACATTTTTAAGGAGCTATTCTTGTTTTCCCAAGAAGATGCCTTTTCTACGCTGCTGCAAATGTGTAAATGAAACTCCATTTTCTCTGTCCCTGAAGATACCTATGAAACATGTCTCTTGAGGTTCTCATGCTCCTCTGGCCCATTCATCGTAGGTCTAGTCCACAAGAGATCACTTGTAACTTGTACTAAGACAGTGCACACAGGTGGAGGCTCTCCCAGCGGAAAGGAGAGAGACATAACACAGATGACCATCATTGTGAAAAGACTGGATCTTCTTCTTCTACCTTTCCAAGTTCTACTGCTTTGGACAGTTTGGGATTTTGCTATTGTTTTGCAAATACCTCCTCCTAGTGTTTCTGAGCCCTCTCTTGAAATGGCTGCTTTCTTCAGGTGGCTCCTTTGACCAGTGATTGGAGTGGAAGAATTTCTTGAAGGTTTACTTAGTAGCTGACCAGCCTGGGCAGCACAAGGTCATAACTGTGAGCATCCATGTACATGTGGTCTGAGGGCTGTACTGTTGTTCTGAGGGGGGCAGCGGGTGGAGAGGCACAGAATAATCAAAAACATTCGAGGGGTCAAGGGGGAAAACTTGTGCTGAGTTAGGTACTCTGTGAGGCCCTCCAGATGGGGTTCAACTGCAACTCCCATTGACCATAATGGTTAGACATTAAGGACCAGAATTAAATAAATTGATACAGAGCAGAAATATGAAATATATATTATGTTAAATACTGTATCTCTGTAGTGTATATGAGAAGTATTTAAAAATTGGTGTGTTAGCAAAGGATTGCAGCAAGCTATGGCAGTCACACAAAAACTGGCCACTTTGTTGGTGATATGGAGTCTTGGTCAGAAAGTTGAAAATGGAATATAAAGTTCTTAGGATTTACCTGGGAATTTCTGAAGAACAAATAAAATGAATTTTTGACAAATGTTACTGTAGAGGGAGGGAGCAGTATAATAGAATGTGCCCAGCGATTTCCTCTTCCTCGCTATCACAAGGACATAAATGTTCCGGATATCAAAGTATCCCATGATATCGCACCTCCAGGAGCACAGAAGCTAAAATAGCAAATTGAGCCAGCCAAAAAAGGCTTTTCTACATTTAGCAAATGTTAAATTAGCCAAGTAGGTAGAGGGCACAAATACTTTATTGCTTTGTTGTTATTCTGTGCTGTCAAGTCAGAACTGATTTATAGTGATCCTAATTGGGTTTTCAATGGAAGGTAAAGGTAAAGGTTGCCCTTGACAATTTTTGTCCAGTCGTGTTCGACTCTAGGGGGCGGTGCTCACCCCTGTTGCCAAGCCACAGAGCCAGTGTTTTGTCCAAAGACAATCTTCCGTGGTCACATCGCCAGTGCGACTTAGACACAGAACACTGTTACCTTCCCACCGAGGTGGTCCCTATTTATCTACTTGCATTTGCATGCTTTCGAACCGCTAGGTTGGCGGGAGCTGGGACAAGTGACGGGCGCTCACTCCATCACGTGGATTCGATCTTGCGACTGCTGGTCTTCTGACCCTGCAGCGCAGGCTTCTGCGGTTTAGCCCACAGTGCCACCACGTCCCTGGAAGTAAGATATTAAAGGATGAGGCTTTACCAGTTCCACTCCATCAGTGAAGTTGCATGGCTGAGCAAGGATTTGAACCCAGGCTTCCTGAGTCCTAGTCCATCAAACTGTTCACTACACCACACTGGGTGTTCCTCTTATTGCTTGGAATATTATGTTTCTCAACCACACTTAAATGTTCTCATAATTCTATGCCCCAAATGATTTGCTTTGCAATTGATTTGAGTTTAGAGTTGCCAAGTGCTATTAAGGTGCTGGGACATTAGCCCAGATGCAATTATTTGTGTTAGATAGGTGCCTGTTCCATTTAGATTGAAAGCTGTCTGTCAGTGTTAGTGATGCAAGTTCTACTTGTAAGAAAATAGGTTTTATCGTGCACATCCTAGCACAATCTACCAGTTATAGCAGCTAAAATCCAATAACATTTGGAGTAGCCTGAGCTATTCACCCCTACGCTAGCCTAATCTTTGTTCTTACAGTAAAAAAAAGTTGACATATATATTCTCCTTAAGCCTCTAAAGAAGGTAGTTCAGCGACTTTCCATTCCTGAACTACTCCTATCACGATTTTGTTATAATGCCAGTATGTTTCCACTCCAGCCAGCCAGAAATGAGAAAAGAGAGAGAGAAAGACAATCAGTGTGTTTTCTGTTCCCTACAGATCCTCTGTTGGAGTCACCAGCTGCTTCTGCATCCTTTCTTGAACATGAGCAAGTGGGGCCTTCGCTCCCACTGGAGGAGGGTGGAGGCAGCAAGAAAGGGGCCACTATCACTGTGTCGAGGAAGCAAAACTGGGCCAAGTTCACCTGGGGTAGCCAAGAAGATTCTCGCAGTAGGAAGCTCTGCCAGAATTCTTTCAGCACGCCATCGGGTCCTGCTCCCCTTAATGATGCATCATCCCCGCAGAGCCTTCTCGGTGCTGCCTCAGAGGCACCTGTTTCAAAAGAAGCTGGTGAATCTCCCGTTAGCTGCCCAGAGATTTCCAGTTCTAGTGTCAGCACCAAGCACAGCAGCCAAGGCGCTTATCTGCAGAGCCTGGAAAGGAGCAGCCGGCACTGGGTGCTGTCCTCAGGGAAGACCCAGGGCCAGGAAGAGTCACTCCCTTCTGCTGGCTCTGGCACGGAGCTGAAGGAACTCAACATGCTCTGCGGTAGTAAGGGGGAAATCTGGTACAACCCCATCCCAGAAGATGAGGATCCACAGCTCCCTTGCCTTGATCGGAAGTGGGGCAGCAGTGTCAAGCACCAGGATCAGAAGAGGAAGCCTAAGGACATCAACGCTGCACATGAGGTTGTCCACCTCGGTGTCTCACAGCAAGCAGGAAGTAGTGGTTTGAAGACTTCACCAACCCGAGTGAGACCTGTTAAGCTGGCTGAGGAGATCAGCATCCCCCAGCTCCAGACCTCTGGTGAGAGCTAATTGTCCTTAAATGGTCCTTGTATGTTTCGTGTAGATGTGTCGAACCCCAGTCCACTCCTATGGCAGCCCTGAATGATTTTCCATGCAGCAAAATTGATAAATATCTGGGTGGTGGGAGAATCCTCACAACTGGTATTGCAGTTGGTAGCCCTGAGACTACAGTGGTGCCTCGCTTAGCGATCGCTGCATTGAGCGACAAAATCACTTTGCGACGGGGGTTTTGCGATCGCTTTTGCGATCGCTTTGCGGGGGTTTTGCGATTGCTTTGCGATGGTCCCTATGGGTTTTTTTCGCTTTGCTATGACCGCGGGGAAGCGATCATCGCAAAGCCCCTATTTTCGACCAGCAGGTTTCAAAATGACCGCCGGAAAAACAAAAGCCAGCAGGTTTCAAAATGACCGCCGGAAAAACAAAATGGCCACCTGCTGTTTTGCCTCGCTTAAGAGGCAGTGAAAATAGCGGCGCTATGGAGGATTTTCGCTAAAGGTGAGTTTTTAAGCCCATAGGAACGCATTGATTGCTTTTTAATGCGTTTCTATGGGTTTTTAAAATTTCTCTTAGCGATGAAATTGCTTAGCAATGTTTTCCCCCTGAACGGATTAACGTCTCTAAGTGAGGCACCGCTGTATTGGGAAATGGGAGAGGTCAAAGCTCTCTGGATGTCTGTATCTCTGTCATTAATATGGTAATGTCAGTTTGGTTTCTGGAGTCTTGAGTTGTGATGGCATCCATACAGTGTGGCTTTTTAAAATTTCTCTTAGCGATGAAATTGCTTAGCAATGTTTTCCCCCTGAACGGATTAACGTCTCTAAGTGAGGCACCGCTGTATTGGGAAATGGGAGAGGTCAAAGCTCTCTGGATGTCTGTATCTCTGTCATTAATATGGTAATGTCAGTTTGGTTTCTGGAGTCTTGAGTTGTGATGGCATCCATACAGTGTTCATGTCAGCACTGGTGATTCATTTTACATACTACAGGTATCTGTAACGTTTTACAGTGGATAAAGAGAGGTTGGGTGCCTCTTATCTTACAGAATAATCTATGGACTTGTGTTGTTTTACAGCTTTGCTCTTTTCTTGGTACAAAGGGTCTCCCTCCTGGCAATTCTGTAGAAAGACTTGCCTTCTCTGCTCTCTTCTCATCGCAGAGCTTGGAAAATATACCCTAATGGGAATACAGTATGCCTGATGGGGAGGATGGGAGGTGTAGTTCAATTTTCTCCCCACACTCTGCTTAAATGTTGTATTTCCAAATACCACTTCCTTCTCTTTCTTCTCCTCCTCCTCCCCCCTTCATATTTCTTTCTCTTCTCCACGCGTAGTTCCTCAAGAGCATTTGAACAACACTTGATTCACACTGGGTAAGTGGCAGTTGGTTTGACCTGTCTTATGCAGTTTCTCTCCCCAGGAAAGATGCTGGTCGCAGGTATGCATCCTGAGGAAAAGGGAGCAGATGCTCTGTCAACAGCACAGAGCCCCACTGCCTGCAAAAAGGGCCCCAGCCTTGGCAAGGCAAAGTCTCCGGGCCCAGTGCGGAGTCTGTCCATGAAAATGAAGAAGCTGCCAGAACTGAGGCGGAAGCTTAGCCTACGTAGCTCCCGTCCCCGGGGCCCTGAGGCAGAAGGTGGCTCCTCTCCCAAGGAGTCAGGCAACGTCATCAGCCGCTACCACCTTGACAGTAGTGTGGCTTCTCGGCAACCGTTGTCGCGGGGCAAGGCTGCCAGCAAAGGGGGATACCTGAGTGATGGTGACTCCCCAGAACTCCAGGCTAAGACGGAGGCTTGCCTAGGGCTTGATCCTGGCTCCTTCCGACCCTACAGTTTTTCTGAGCAACCTGGCTGCTTGCAACATCTCTCTGGCCTTGTCAGCATCCACCTGCTGGGAGTGCAGGACTTCAAGCCTCCCAAAGCTGAAATGAAGGAAGCCTTCTGCGTCCTCCAAATTGACTCTGTCAACAAGGCCCGCACAGCCCTGTTGCCTTGTCAGGGGGCCTTCCTCAACCTCAACCATTCCTTCCAGCTGGAGCTTGAGGATGCTCAGCTCCTCAAAGTTGTGGTCTTCTCATGCGATCCCATGGTGGGCAAGAATCGTGTCTGCTGCCACGGCACCATCACCCTACCCTACATATTTCAAGGTAAGATGGACCAGAAGAGAGGAAAGACCTTCTGATGTTTGGGTATAGATGTATTAGCAGTTTTCTTTTTTTTCAAATTATTATTAAATTTTTTAAAACTAATCATTACAAAACAATACAAAAGTAGAAAGAAAGAAAGAAAGAAAGAAAGAAAGAAAGAAAGAAAGAAAGAAAGAAAGAAAGAAAGAAATTTAAAATACAACACAAAACATATTTATATCCTGTGCACCTTTCCACCCTTGGGATATAAATTGTTTAAAAATTATTTCTAATTTATTTCTTCTCTAAAAAATATAATGAATCTTTTCCTGGAGTATAATCTTTAGTTTTCCCAAACTCATATTCTAAAAATACATTATTTTTTTCCATTTTTCACAGTTGCTTTATTTGCATAATCTTTTTTTTTTGCTTTATTTATTAATGGAACCATATAATAAAGAACAACAAACAAATAAAACACAATAATTATGAACAAAACAAAGTGCTCTCCCCCACCGGGACCAGTGTAGAATTAAACCTTTTCCTTTATTTCAAGGACTCCCGTCCCCCTTCCAAAATTTTAATGTTTCTTGCATTGGTGCTCTTCCCTTCCCCTTTATTAATACGCTCCCGTTCCCCTTCCAAAATTTTAATGTTTATTAATACATAATCAATAAAATCTCCCCAAATTTCTGAAAAAGTATGCCTTTTAAGCACTCCTTTCTTTACTTCAATATTACATGTTAATTTGTCATTAATATATATTCCATACCTCTGTGTACCGTTCACTTAATTGACAATTATGTTTTGTTTTCCAATAACTAAGTAAACTGTAACTAAGTTAGAAATCTAGCAGCTGTAACTAAGTTAGAAATTAATTTTATTCTTGCCCAGTTATATTCCACCTTATAAAATATTGATAAAAGTGCTATTTTAGGACATCCTTCTACATTTCTTTTAGTTACTTCTCTTATTTCCCCAAATACCATTTGCCAAAAAATACATTATATTTATGCTTAGGTTATTTCTCTTATTTTCCCAAATACCATTTGCCAAAAAAGTACATTATATTTATGCTTAAAACAATTCATAATACATTATATTTATGCTTAAAACAATTCATTTTCAGTATTTGTTTTCTAACTTCACGTGTTGATTTATTACCTTCTCCCTTTTTGCAATAATTTCCTCAAATTCTTCAAAGGGCTACACTCTCCTATTTTTTTTCTCAATTCATTGGGCCAATATTCTAATTGAATATTGGTCCAATGAATTGAGAATATTCTAATAGATTTATATTCAATCATGAAATTCCTCCTTCTCCTAGTAACAGTCTAATTTGTTCTCTATACATTTTTAACCCATCATTTATTCTGATAACTTCTTGCTCTACTAATAACCTTTTTAGACGTCTCATAAGATTTTCAGGAAATCTTCCTAGCCTAACCACTTGACTTAATGGAGAACTCCTGCAGCTTTTCCAACATTGCAACATCGTTCCATAAGACGCACCAATTTTTTAGGAGAAGAAAACAGGAAAATATAATCTGTTTTCTTCGCTCCATAAGACGCACAGACTTTCCACCCCCCTGTTTTGTGGGAAAAAAGTGTGTCTTATGGTGCGAAAAATACGGTAGGTAGAGATTTTCTATCTTTTTTACAATATCTTTGATATTTTCCTTTTAAAATATTTCCCATATCTCCTTCAATATTATACAACTCAAGATTACTCTAAATTATGTCTTTGCTATTAACGATAATATCAGGAATATGTCTCAATTAGTTTGCTACATCGTAAAATTTAGTACAGTATTAGGTAAACCTAATCCTCCCTCCCTCTGTGGTAAATACCATAATTTTTTATTTATCCTTGGTCTCTTATTACTGTTGCAAAATATATTAATCATATTCTGCCATTATTTTAACTCCTTATCACTAATCTTTATGGGTAACATCCAAAATAATAATAATAATAAAAATTAGGAATAATTTTCATTTCACATAATACTATTCTCCCCAACCATGATAAATTCAACTTTTGATATTGTTTTAATTGCTCCTTAACTTTTTTACTTTATAAACATTTAATTGTATAATAGCTTGTAAATTCCAAGTAGTATTTATCCCTAAAAATCTAATATTATTATTTACTTTACTTTCACATTAATCTGTCATTTTTCTTTTTCTTTAGTATTATAACATATTCACATAAAGTTCAATTCACTCCAATTTACCTATAACCCTGATATTTCTTGAAATATATTTAAATGAGCTTTAATATTTTCTGTGGAGTTTATTGAATCTTCATTTACAAGTAGTGTACTGTCTGCAAACAAATTGCATTTTTTCTTTACACCCTTTCCTTTTATTTCATTATCTTTCCTTATTACATTTGCTAATATCTCTGTTATCAAAGAAAATAAAGATGGAGATAAGGGGCATATTTCTCTCATACCTCGTCCTAGTGATATTCTTTCTGTTACCCCATCGTTCACCAGCAACCATCACTATATTCTCTGAGTACAATTGCTGGATAATATGTCTAAACCATTTCCCAAATCATAACTCCTCTACTAATACAGTATCTTTAATACAGGCCATTCCACCAAATCAAGCACCTTAAAATATATATAATGCTAATATACCTGCTTTTCTTCTTTTTCTTTTATTGTATAAATTATAGGAAGTACTCTTCTCACTAGACCTGTCATCTTTCTACCTTGTAAAAATCAATGTTGATTTCTCCCAAGATAATTGCCAATAGAACTATTTATGCTCTTAACTAGTATAGATAAATAAATATCTTGGTGTCTTGATTTATTACTGAAACTGGTATATAGGCTCCCACATTCATGGGTTCTTTATCGAGTTTCGAAATTAATGCGATCAATGGATGCTTCTAAGATGGAGGTATAGTGACAGTTTTTCTAAAGGGCAGAGTTTTGTGGCGAGATGGGGTGGGGGAGAACAAGGAGGTGTTTTCCCTCCCAACTCCCATCTTAAGTGACTGTAGCACAAGGATGATCTTGCACTCTGCACTTTCTTACCTCAGTTACAACCAGGGCAGTGCTGTAGCCATTCCAGAAAAGCCCCTTAATGAAATGGGGATGAAGGACTGCTTCACCTCCATTAGAGCAAGACTTGGGTTCTTTTGACTGTTCTTGTTGCGTTTGCCATGTCAGGCAGGCGGAAGTCACTGTTCCCCAGGTCACCTGTTATCCTGGGTGTGGGCTCGGATCCCATTGCTCATACTCTACTATCTCATCTGTATCACTTATTTCCCTCAAGACAGTGGACATGGTTCATCTCCTCCACTTTATTCCCACAACAGCTTTGTGAGATAGGACGGGCTGAGGGTAAATGATCACCAGTAGTAAGCAGGCAGCTAGACTAGGCCCATTGAATCAATTGAGTGGAGTCACCAAATCCCTACTGGTTCAAGGGGTCAATTCTAGTGTAGACTCGCGACTAGACTTTGCCCGTTACATGAATAATATGGGTCACAGGATATGCAAGAACAAGCCAAAACATGACTGTTTCATCTGTGGTGGTGATGGAGGAATGGCTATGGATTCTGAAGCAAGAGAAGAAGGTTGGATAGAACTAATTCTGGGAAGCAGAATTCTGTGCCGCTCGCCCAATGTGTTAAAAGACCAGGACAAATCCGTTTGTTGTTATTCCCAGAATTGGGGCTTAACTAAATAGGAATGCTTGGCTAAAGGTGGGTTGGGGGCCTGGGGGGCCCTTTGCAGTCCTCACAGCCTCTGCTCTGCTTCTCTAACCCCTGGACCAGCAGGTGGTAGAACCCAGCAGCTGGCCATGCAACTGGAGCCACAGGGAATTCTTTACCTCAAACTCACTCTGGTGGATCAGTGGGACCCTGTCAACCGTGAGCAGGAGCCCCAAGTGTTTGGTGTGAACCTGAGCCAGCTGGTGGAGAGGGAAAATGCTGCCATCAAAGTGCCCCTGCTGATCCAGAAGTGTGTTGCCCAGATTGAGAAACGAGGACTGAAGGTGAGTATTCTCCCTTTCCAGAAGCCCTTCCTCCATTTCCCCAGAAATGCACAGGATGACCCATTGAGGCTGTTGGGGATATGGCGCTACACGCTGGCCTCTTCCTTTCCTTCCAGGTGAGTGGCCCTGCGGGGAATGGAAGTTTTCCTCTCCCATAGCTTTCCCCAACTTGATTTCCACCCGATGTTCTGATCTAAAAGTCATATTCCGACATGGGTTGTGGGGCAGAAAACTCCTGGAGAGAGCCGAGTTAGGGAAGCCTGCCATCGATCAGTGGTTCTCCATGTGTGGCCTGGGTGAATATGAATAAATGAATTAGCAATTTTTGATGAATTTTGCAATTCATTTTTTAAAAATTCGTGCCCATTTCCACTCAGAATTCTCGGCCACGGGCTACTGTGGCTGGGACTTCATGGAGTTGAACTCTAAAGCATCTGAAGATACAGAGATGGAGAGTCATCTCTAAGCAATAGAATATCTCTTTTCCAACCCCCTGTTGTCTGGAAGGATACCTATTTGCCCCTGCGATTCTCTTTGCAGGTGGTGGGGCTGTATCGTTTGTGTGGCTCAGCCGCAGTGAAGAAAGAGCTGCGTGATGCCTTTGAGAGGGATAGTGCTGCTGTGGAGCTCTCCGAAGACCTCTACCCAGACATCAACGTCATTACAGGTCAAGGTTGCAAAAGGCATTCTGTGCCAGACCACTGCTCCAGCTAATCAGTTCCCTATCAGTCCTGGAGTGGGGCCTTCTAGGCAAGGCTGGTGGCACTGCTGTCTCTATGAGGTTGTGCTTCCTCTTGGGTCAAGATAAAGGTTTGCCCACCCTCTCTCCTGGCTTCCTGCTGGTGAACCAGAGGTCCAGCCGAGCCACAGTGTGCAGTTTCTGTGAGGGATCTGATCCTTGTGCCATGGCTGAGTTGCCAGGCGACTCAGAAGCAGAAAGGAATCTGGCAGGTCTTGCCAAGGAGGTCAGGAATGAGAGAAGTGGCTAGTGCACCCCAACAGGGACGATAGTTTCCGGAGATGAGCAAATGTTTCTGGAACAGAGGGACAAGAAGTGGCTTCAGCCAGCCGATTTCCCAGTGCTTAACTGGTGTGGAGTAGAGAAGACCTGGGGGAATCCAGATGGGGTCTGTCTGCTGGTCATTTCTTCTCCATGGAGATGTTGAAACCCATTTGAAGGAGTGAATTGAAAATTCAGAACAACTTTAGGACCAGCTGCTCCATTTTCCATCTCTTTTGAAAGATGGAGTGAAAGCAGGACACTCGAGGATCAAATTAGGCTTATGAACATAAGCTAGAATGGTTGTTGTGGGTTTTCCAGGCTCTTTGGCCGTGTTCTGAAGGTTCTTCTTCCTAACGTTTCGCCAGTCTCTGTGGCCGGCATCTTCAGAGGACTGGAGTAGGAATTCTCTCTGTGCTCTGGTGCAGTTTGTTTAGGGAAAAGCCGAAAAATGCACAACAACCATCAGATCCCGGCTGTGAAAGCCTTCAAGAATACATAGTGAGAATGTTTTGAATTACACACAGACACACTTCAGAAGAAAAAGGTAGCTATTCTGTGAAACTCCCAGACTTGCTTGGCCTCTCTCAAGAGCCGTCGTGTTCTCACCGTATTAATTGTCATCTGTGCCAGCTGTGTATGGCTCTAGCCACCCAGAGTCTAGTCATGGCATGCCTCCTTAAAACCATCCTGCCGATCTACCTATCCATTACTCTCCCAGTTCATCCAGCATAAAGCCGTATGAAGTCTCCTCATACTGCCTGCAAGGATCCTTTGTAACAGAACCTTTGGCTTTACTTTATTTAATTTATCATTTATTAGTTAACATTTATGTCCTTCCTTCCCTCTCATGAGCTGTAGGCTCCATATTTTGTTCCACAACCACCACCTTCATCTTCATAACCACCCTGGGAGTTGAGTCAATGTGTGGAAAAAGAGTAACTGGCTCAGAGTCCTCTGGTGAATTTCTTGGCCAAGTGGGAATTTGAACCCAGGCCTCCCAAGTCTTGGTCCAGCATTCTGTTACCACCGCACCATACTGCCTATATCTCTCATGTGTCCTGGAAATGGCCTCTCTTGGCCTCTCCAGTAAAGACTGGAGACTGGCCCTGGGAAGGGAGCAGTTGTGGTTTTTAAAGGGCTGAGGTATTTCCTGTGTTGACTCTTCCCAGGCATCTTGAAAGACTACTTGCGAGAATTGCCCACACCTCTCATCACCAACCCACTCTACCATGTAGTGTTGGAAGCCATGTCCAATCGGACAGTGGGCCAGGAAGCTAAGGAGACGACGGCAACAGCCGCTCTTCTGGACTGCCTGCCAGAAGCTGAGAAGGTGAGGGCGAGGAGAGCAGGTTTGTTGATCCCAGCCAGCTTCTCATCTCCTGTTTCTTAGATAATCCTGTTTTGGTCTGATGGGCTGCGGCCGAAGATGACTTCCTGCGATTTAGCATGATCCTGGCTTACCACAAAACACAGGAATTCCTTGATTTCTTCACTAGAAGGTCCAGGCATCCTTTCCCATCATAACTGGGCCCTTGCAATTTTCTTACTAAAATGAAGGCCGTCACCTTTCTCCTAGATATATAATGCCGTCACATCACCAGGGCTTTCTCTTGCTCTTTCCATCTCTCCCCATTAAGATCTCTCCCCTTCTGGTGTCAGCATCAGACGGGTGTCGATGATCTGACTGAACCAAAGTGAACCGCTGCTGCCTCCATTTTCTAGGCCACCTTGACCATGCTCCTGGACCACCTTAGCCTGGTTGCTGCTTTCCACACATTCAACCGCATGAATGCACAGAACCTCGCCGTGTGCTTTGGGCCTGTCTTGCTGAGCCAGGGGTCAGGGGCCCACAGCTCTAGCCAGCAGCACCGCTCCATGACCAGCACCATGGACTTCAAACACCACATTGAAGTGCTGCATTATCTGCTACAGGCTTGGCCAGGTGAGTGGCACCCAGGTGTGGGGGAGACAGTTGGGCAACAGATGGGCAGTCTTGGCTGGCTGTAGGCGTGCCAGGCAGTGTGTTTTATGATATTTTGCTTTCCCTTAGATAAGTATCTCCCCAGTTCAGGCTGCTTGTGATAGGTCCAAAGACACTGAAGTGGGTTAGGAGTAGGAGGTGTTAATGTAAGAGAGGTTAAAGGTAGTTTAATTCAAAGGAGGGTAGGGTGCAGACCGTGCTTCAGGGATTTCTTACTATCCTCCTCAGCATAATGGCAGATTTTATCCAGTGGTTGGTGAACTAAAAAGCACTGGCTGTGTCCTATTTCTTGGGAGCACTGAACCTGTCTCTTAGCCCCTTCCAAGTAAGCATCGTACACAAGATTTTACCGTTCTGGATTATTCTAGCTCATCTGCAGACTTGGTTATGCATACTGACCTTCAGCTCCATACTGTTCATTAATTGCAGGGGTCTCTCTACAGTTCTGTGAGGATTGCTCATTTCTTTTTATTTACTCCACCGCTGCTTTATTGTGCAGTTGATCTCTGTCCTTTTATTCCTTTTATTTATTTATAATGTTCACAATAAATCCATAAGAGAGCATTTTGTTTTATCCCATGGTTGCTCAGTTTGCTTGAGAACCTTTGATGTGGAACTCTGCCAGAAACAGCCTAATAATGCAATGCTGTTAATCTCTACCCACACATTTATTTACTCCACCGCCGCTTTATTGTGCAGTTGATCTCTGTCCTTTTATTCCTTTTATTTATTTATAATGTTCACAATAAATCCATAAGAGAGCATTTTGTTTTATCCCATGGTTGCTCAGTTTGCTTGAGAACCTTTGATGTGGAACTCTGCCAGAAACAGCCTAATAATGCAATGCTGTTAATCTCTACCCACAAGTAAGTTCTTTTATATTCAATGAGATTCGATCTCAGGTAAGTATGTGGAAGGATTGCCGTTTGAGCCAGGATTGATAGTGTCTGCATCTAGATGGATGCTCTCAAATAATTGACAAGGATGACTCCCCTTTGCAGATGTCCTGTTGCTTCTTCCCCAGCAATGATGCTTCTTCGAGGACAGTGAAGAAATGGGGGTAGTGCTGGCCCTGATGCTTCCCACCACCTTTCATGGGATAAGATGATGGAGTGGTCATTTCCGGAATCTCTAATTTGATCTAGACTGCAGCTTTGCAACCTGCTGTCAAAAAAAAAAAATACCTGTGGAAAACAGGGGAGAGACAAAGAAAAAGAGAAAGAAAGAGAACAGCACTAGAATGCTTGCAGGTCCGACAAGGAAGCTTCTAGGCAGGTTCAAAGCTTTGTTGCCCTTTTACCTTGAAGTGCATTGTTGGTTCTTCTCTGGGGCTCCTTCCAATGTAATCCTAGAATCATAGAGTTGGAATAAAGAGAACAATTCATTCTCTCCCCCCGCCCCCCACTAGCTCCAGGGTGTTGTTCGAAGGAGCATAGCCTGTGGTCATGCCATTTTAGGTAGCTTAACATGTTTACCCTTTCTCTTTAGCCCCACGCAGGGTGACAGAAGAGGAGCATGCTCCGCCTGGCATGCAGGCACATGGCCCCTGCCGCCGGCCCCTGGATCTGCCACTGCTCCAAGGCGCCGTTGTGGCTCGGAGTCGCCCCCGAGGGTTGGAAAGTCCTCCCAGCAACCGCTACGCTGGGGACTGGAGTGTGTGTGGGCAGCAGTTCTTGGCAGGACCCAGGCCGGGTGGTGACACCGACTATGACGAGGTGGCTGGGAGTGAGAGTGACAGTGAGAAGGAGGAGACCGAGGAAGACGCTCTGAGAGAAGGGCTGAAACGCCACAGCCAGACTGTCTTCATGGGTGATTTTGCCTTGGTGGAAGACCCGGAGGCTCCTTTCAGCCCAAGGCTCAATCTGAAGGACTTTGATGCCCTCATCTTGGACCTCGAGCGAGAACTCTCCAAGCAAATCAATGTCTGCCTGTGAGCCATTCTGCCAGAATATAAGAAGACCGAGGAACCGTCAGGCACTTGCCTCAGTAGGGCAGTCTCTGACGTTAGTCAAGCTCAGGCCTGCCACCTTATCAGTATTCCTTCTGTTCACAGTGCTTTGAGCCACGTGGATGGGTTTTTTTTATTGCTGTTGTTGTTGTTGTTGTTGTTGTTGCTGTTGTTTATTTTTGTTATGTCTCTGTGCCTTTACTTTGAGAGCCAAGGTGTGTACACCTGCTGATCGGCTGTCAAGGTGCAGTCACTGAGGCCTTTAGCCTCTTGAATTTTTATTATTATTTACTTTTCCCACTTGGAACTGTGGACAGGAGGGAGGAGCAACTTTCCATTCAGTACTTTGTTTTTTATACTTTAGTGCTTCCAAGGAAGAGAGGAGCTGGTCAAGGGTTTCCCCCCCCTCCCCCACTTAAAAAACTGATATTGAGTCAATAATATATATAGAGAGAGCACACTTTCTTAGTCATTCAAAGCACTTCCACAATTCTGGAAAAGGTGGCCAAAATCCCTCTCCTCCCTTAATATACGGTAGATGGGGCCCAGTTGTGTGGCTTGCCCTGCTCAGTGAACCCCTGTTTGAACCAGGGATCTACAGCTCAAATGTCAAACTCTGCACTCAGCCAGCAATAGTTATGAGGGTGTCCATGAGCATGTTCCCCTATTGGAACCCACTTTTTTTGTGGGTGAGCCCTTTACTCCCATTGGTACGTGACACCTGGAGGCCGTTGAAAGTGGACAGAAGTCCTCCAGGAGTTAAAACAGCAGTCCCCCATCCATGTCACCTTGCGTACAGCGGAGTTTGGAAAAACAGTTTTGCACAAGGCAGTCAAGAGCAGGCATCCGTGCTGGGCCCTGTAGATACTGCATGCCAACAACAAGTGTGACAGTGCAGTAGCAGCTTGCAGCCATTGTTGGCTTCTACAGATACTTCTCTACTTTTGCCAGCAGTGCTGTTTTTTCACCTTCCTGTATGAAGCTACTTTGAAAGCCTAAATCCTAGAGGGTTGGCCATTGCTGGTATCTCTCTCTGCCTTCGAGCCTTAATGTGTCAACTGCCCAGCATAGTGCTTGCACGAATAGGACAGTATATAAATCCAATAAATTAAAAGAGACAGCAGAGGGCCCCATGGATGAAAGGGAGAATTCCTTCTCCAATGCTTGGGCTTCTTCTCTGTTCTAGCATTCCGGCCCTCAGCCTGTTCTCACGCTCACCTTCTTGTCCTGCATGGCTGTACAGCAGGGCTTCCTCCTCCATTGCTATGGCAGGAGCTGCCCACCTGTCTGCAGCACCACAAAGGGTTTGCTAGGACTCATGCCTTTATCCTGGTTGGCCAAAACTTCGCCTCCCCTTTAGGCATCTGACATCCTGAGGAACGAGTGGGAGGAAAGGCTAAATCAAATCATGCTCTCTCCAAACTGAAGGGAGCTAACTGTGGCTCTTGCACTTTTTTAATGTGGAGAGTTCTTCAGATATAAGCATCTTTTGAAATAGCTATTATGGACCATTTCAGCTCAATCTAAAACACAGAAGCAGTGCCATGTTAGGGGCAAGTACACCTGCCCACTTCAGTTTCACTGGCTGCCTGGATACTGTGGGCCATCATTGCCCGTCCTAGCCCTTTGCTACAGTAAGCAACCAGGTGCGGGGGGTGGGGGTGGAGGAAGATGCACTGTGTTGTTTTTTTGACAGTGAGGATGCAAGCAAGCTTGTAAGTAGATCTGTTGCTCTAAAAAAGTGGTAAATCACATGTAAAGGCAGCCTAATGGCTCTTCTTGGGTAGGAGAGACTCTGTCTAGAATTGGCAGTTGGGAATGGTGTGTGGGGGTCCTTTATTTATTGTACACGTTCCTGTTTTGTTCTGTTTTTTGCTGCTTCACATCTGTTTCAGATCTTGTTGGGTTCGAGGGAGTTAAGTGACGATACAGAGTGGTGGAAGATCTAAAACTCCCACCACACTGCACATCAGTGCCTTGTTTTGAGGTAACTACATATTCTTCTACAAAATGGAGCTTCGTGCTCAGTTTACATGCATCTGATTGTAGTGTGTGGTTTGGTTCAGACCTCCGCTGTTCCAGGACACTCCTTCAAAAGCAAGTCAGCTCTTGATGAATCCAGTGTTGTGGCCGACTTGCCACCTTCTTTGAAGAAGGAAACCCTCCCAGTGAAGAGTGGGCAGCTCTCTGCTTCCTCACAGGCCATGGTATTGGAGTAGGCCAATGTGCTCTCCCCCCTGTGCTTGGTAAAATATTTTCCAGGTAGGCAGCCACTTCTTGGGTGGTTTCTCAGAAGACTTGGCCACATACTGCAGAGGTAGCCACGGAACCTCTGCTTCTCCTCGCCTGTGTTTGAAGTCATCACAAACAGTGTTTCCGCAGCTTGCGCAAGCTGCAGGCAGAGAACAGGGCAAGAGAATGGTGTCCTGGGTTCCTTCTACTAAACTGTGCCAGAAGATGTGGCTGGGCAGTAACTACATGCCTTCTGCAACATGGACTTCAGCCCTTGGTGTGCCAAGCTATAAATGAGCCCAGTCTCTGCAGGATACGTCCCAGGTGCCATTTGACAGGCCCGTCCTGAGGGCTTTGGCTCACCTGTTGTCCCCATGCAGGAAGAAGGAAGCCCTGTTAGGCATGTTTTGGGTTTCACGGACTGCTTTTTGCTTTCCACTTGCAATGCAGTTTTCAGCGAGCACTTTTACTGACAAGAGAGACTGTTGTAGAAGTCCTTGGGCCACCTAGCCAACTTGATGAAGTAAAATGGTACAGGGGGGGATGCGGGCCTTCAAAAGGAAATGTATGTCCTCATGGACAATTAAAGTATTTGTGAACATACACAGTTGTTATCCGTGTGGGTATAGGTTGGCGTATGAACATGGAACATGCTGGGGGGCCTTACCTTGATCATGTTTTACACTTTCCATTAAGGTCTGCCTTCCTGGGATTTGCCCTAAGTGAAGGCAAGGCCTCCTTAATATGGTGCCCCATAAGAAAGTTTAGTTCTTCAGTGAGGAAGTCCAGAAGTCCTTTTTCTCAGCCCTTTTCTTCCTAGTTTTAAGCAGCAGCCTGTGTGGCCTTGGGCAAGCCGATCAGTCCCCAGCCTTCCCCAGGAGAAAAGGGAAAGGAAGCCACTTTATGTATTTATTGAAAACCCTGAATCCCCAGCCTCCCACAGGAGAAAAGGGAAGGGGAGCCACTTTATGTGTTTATTGAAAACCCTGGAAAGGGTTGACGTAAGTCAGAATCGACTTGATGGTACACAATGTATTATTATTATTATTATTATTATTATTATTATTATTATTATTATTATTATTATTATTATTATTATTATTATTATTATTATTATTATTACAGAATCCTGGACTTGTGGCATTTCAGACAGCAGTGGTGTGGCACTTGAAGAACCTTTTTGAAGTTCTTTCCATGTACATGACTTCCCTTCTTGCGTTCATCAAGACATAGAATGTACTATACCAAGTTTTCCCAATGTGCTGGTTTTCTACATGCGGAGACATTTTCTTCTTGTTGTTTTCGGTGTGTTAAAAAGTGGAGAAGACCAGTGAGGAAGTTCCCAAATCACATGCTATCACAAGTCATTCACCACTTGAGGGAGCTCCTCTTGGGGGGGGGGAACTCCATGCTAAACAACTCTAAAAATATACCAAATATTTTGAGGCAGCTAGTTTGCCACAATTTGTCAGCAACTATTTAAATTGAGGCATTTGGAGTATAAAGGCATTTTGGTGGTTTCTTGTTGAAATTCAGCAAGCTATGGAGAGCAAGGACTTGCCTGTACTTGATTTACTGTGACTCTCAGTTGTTGGTACTACAGTTGTTGGTACTACAGGCCTCTTTTAGATCCTTTCTTTTGCTAGAATAATGCTGGCTACCCATTTAGGGTTACAGAATCCCACCTAGCTCTTCATAAGAAGAAAAAACAAGTAGGCTGGGGGGGGGGAAGGGGTGGTGGAGGAAATGATAATTGCACTATTTAAAGTAATTTGGGAAAATGGAGAATGGTTTATTCGTTCAAAAAAAATTTTTTGGAGCGACGGATGGAGGGTCATTCTGCTTACTCAGCACAGATCTGCCATTGTTAGTGGGTGGGCTTGTAGACAGGCAAGGTGAGCATGTCCACAGCATCTTATTCCTTGGGATTTCAGATTGCAAACCGGAGATCTAGGGCTGGGCACTTGTGAGGTCACAGAAGGAAAGGCAGGAAGACCAAGTGGGAGAAGGAAGCTGGAACTGTTCTGGAGCCAGCTGATTGTAGAGATGGGCAGAAGTGGAATACAGTAAAATATCCACAGATGTATCAAAATACGGCTAACCAGGTAATGAAGCAACCAAGCGTTGGAAGGAAATGGAAAAATATGTCCAGCAATTGCAACAGTTGCTGTTATGCTTGCAAGGGCCTGCCACTTGTGTAATCTTACCTACAGCACTCATGATAATTGGGGTGTTTCCAAGACCTTGCAATGCTGCTGGGAATTGGAGAAGACTTACCGTACCTAATATACCAGAGGGACAGGAAATATGTGTGTTGTAGAACAAGGAGGCTTGTAAGTTCCTGCTCCCTGTCTTACTCTGAATGATACAATGGGGGAGTCAGGTGCACGCATTCATCCCTTTCCCCTCCCTTCACTCTTGGCATTTTGGCATGCCATTGTTGCATACATTCAAAGCACACCTTTAGACTGAACTATTGAATGCTGGTGATTGAGTTGGTTGGTTGGGGGATGTTTTGATTATTTATGGTGTTTCCCTCATCTTTTGCTTTTAAACATTTGGTTAAGATGCTGCTGAACATAGGAGTAGTTGTTTATTCTACTTTTAAAGGCCTTTACCAAGTAAGAGATCAGATGTAATCATATTTTGGGATGGCCCAAATCCTGTTCCACAGTTAGGCTGTGCCATTACCTGCAGCAACAGATTGCTGCTAATTAATGAGTCCTGTCTTTGCTTCTTGTATGCCAAGCCACTTGATCGGCACAGAATGAGGAATCCAAGCAGGACTCATTTATGTGTGGCAAGTTGCTGCTGTGAATTACACAATTTTCCTTCTGCCAGTGTAACTACACAACAGGATTTTGGCTCTTATACTTTAACTGTCTTTTTAAAATGTGGAAATATTAGTTTCTGGGAAAGCAGTGAAAATATCAGACAGTTTGACAAGATTATAAGAGGTCACCAACTTGTTTGACTATGTCTAGTTAGCCTTGTCCCCAGACCACCATGAAGGGAAAGTGGACCAACATTTGTTGTTTGATAGGCAAACTTGTATGCAAGTTATATTTCCAGTTCCTCTTTGAATTTGAACACCCTGTTCCTGCCGTGCCCCACTCTGCTGGGCTCCCCTCTTCTGAAGCAGAGGAGGAGGAGTTCCAGCCTGTGCCAGCAGAGTTGGCAACTCAGAGGCTTCAGCCTGCGCCTGGGGAAAGCCAGGTTGGAGACAGCGGCATCAGATTCTGGGACCTCCGGCGGCGCTCCCTCAGAAGGCCAGCAGCAGCATTGCTGGCCAAGAGAGTGTAGGAGAAAGGAAAGCAGAGCCAACCCCAGGCTGGCCCTTCGAAGATTCCTGATTGCATGTGGGCAGAGGGGAAGCACTACTGTATACATTTCCCTCGCAAAGCTTCAGCAAATTGCTGATTGCAACATGGCTGTTGATCTCCTTGCCTGGTTGTTTCACTTTGTTCCTGCTGCCCTTCTGCTAAACTTGACTTGAAAGATTCCACGGCTGTGACCTTGGATTACAACTGAGCTTGCTACTTTCTCTTGGCCTTTCCTGAACCTTGGCACTCACATCCTCCTCCATAACTGTTCCGAGTGTTCAAACGCCCAGAGCGAAGCTGTGAGAATTAAATAATTAGTATCCACTCTTACAGTCTCAGAAAGATTCAGTGAGTAGCCTTCATTCATACAACGGTTTCCCACTAGTACGAGGCGCTAGTTGGTCTCAAGGCCTAATTCTCAGAATTTGTGATCTTCTTTTTAATCGGCTTTCGTAGAATCATATAGTTGAAAAGGGCCCAGAAGGCCATTGAGTCCAATTCCCTGCTCAATGCATGAATCCAAGTGAAAGCACATCAGACAAACAGCGGTCTAGCTTTTTCTTGAAGGCCTCCAGGGTTGGAGAGCTCCGTGAAAGCACATCAGACAAACGGCTGTCTAGCTTTTCCTTGAAGGCCTCCAGGGGTGGAGAGCTCACCACCTGTTGTTGTCTTCTCCCGCCCCCCCCCCACATAGACATGTGGCCCCAAAGAGCAGGTTGCAAGCAAAGTAATGCAAGCTGAGGACCAAACAAACCATCGTAAGTAATGAAAGGGACACTTGGGCAGCCCAGTGAAAGAGAACATTACGCAAACTGCCGTGCTGCCATGCTTCAGTGGAAGAAATGATGGCTCCGCAGAAGGAAAAGCTTGTTGAGACGTGGCCGTTGAATATGTGGAAGCTAACCAGCCGTGGTCTTTCTCTGGAATGAGGGAAGGGGAAATGCCCTTTACTTGAGACATTGCAGCAAGTGACATGCTTTTGTGCACATCCCCCATGGTGAAAGCACACGGTACCCCAAACCAGTTAAGTTACTTGGTTATAGGGAACAGGAAGTCCCACAGGCACCTTTTCACTTCTGTCATCATAAGCATATATTAGAATAAACTAACAGTTTGATGTCGGTTCTGTTTTTCTCATCCTGTCTAAAGAGAGGACCAGCCTGTCCTTGCCACAACAAGGAGGCGCCCTCTGTTGGTGGAATGGAGGAACTGCAGGAACCAAGGGCTCAGAGCTGGCCTTCCTGGGAGTTTACAATATGCCACACCTTCCAACCGGGGAGGAGGTGGAGGCAACCCACAGTCAATTAAAACAATATAATAAACTATTAAAAACACACTGAATCATAGTATTAAAAAACAACAAAACATAATATTAAAAACTGCTGTTTAAAAACACTTGTAAACGTCCAGACCTCAGATCAATAGGAAGGAAAAAAAATGTATATATACACCATTCCATAATAGCAGATTTTGGTCCAGATCTGTTTAAAAGCCTGCCTGAAAAGGAAGGTCTTTGCCTGACAAGGGAGGGCACCAAGCGGAGCTCTCGGAGGGACTGCATTCCACAACCTGGGAAGAGCCAGAAGAGGGGAGCCCAGCGGAGTGCGGCACACCTGGGAACAGCCGCAAAGAGGCCTCTTCTCAAGTCTTAACCAAATGAGCTTGGGAGGCAGTGGGGCCGAGAGGAGGGTTGGCTGCAGCATTTCGAGCAAGCTAAAGCTCCCAAACATCTCTAAGAGCAGCCCCACATTGGGTGTGTTGCAAGAATCCAATGATGTGTCCCCATAATGTCTCATATAGAACAGGTGCAGTTAGCTTACTAACTGTAATTGTGCAAATGAACACCTGGTTACTGATGAAACCTGTGTGGGTAGACTCAGAGTAGAACTAGGACCACACCAAAACTGCAGATCTGACTTTTCAAGAGTGTAACAGTGCAGGTTGAAGCTTTATTTCCTGATCTGCCTTTTAACTGACTGGGAGCACCTCTGTAAGTTTCAGTTTGTTTGCCTTCATCCAGCCCTTTACTGACAACAAACACTGCTCTCTAGGAGCTAGGCTGAAAGGAGAGATACTGTAGTTGGGTGTCATTCACATATTGGTGGCAACAAACCCGGGACAACCTCTCCGAGCAGCTCCACATAGATGTTAAAATAGCACAGGTAGCAGAACTTAATTCCACAAGCCCTTCAGGTTGATGGCAACAAACACTGCCAAGAAATTTAGCAGAACCAACAGGGCTACACTTCCCTCATTTTGTTCCTGGCATAGACTATCCACCAACCTGACCAAATCTGTCTTTATCCCATAGCAAGGCCTGAGGCCACCTTGAAATGGATGTGGCTAATGCCTCTCTCATCCAGGGCCTCCTGGGTCTGAGAAGCCACCACACTCTTCAGTCCTTGCAAAAATGCAGTGCTGGATGGAGATTGGCTGGCAATGATCTAACACGGTGGGATTCAAGGAGAGTTAGTTTGGGACATGTGCGTACCCTGCTTTGCTGCAAAGGGGCATTGACCACGCCCTTTGGGGGGGTCGCCCTGTCCTGCAGCTAACACACAGCTGAAAGCTTACTTGTGTGTCATCTGTAAACGAGTAATCCCTGCCAGTATCTGCAAAGTTCTGTGCAAAGTATCCACAGTGCGTTGTTGGGTGGCCAGCATCCTTTTATTGTCTGTTTCTACAAGTTTTAATTATTTTTCATAGGAATAGGGGTTGAGGTACAGATAAGGGGTCAGGGTTTTAAAAAAAAGGGTAAAGGTAAAGGTAAAGGTTCCCCTTGACAATTTTTTTTTGTCCTCTGCAAAGCTCTGTGCAAAATATCCACAGTGAGTTGTTGGGTGGCCAGCATCCTTTTATTGTCTGTTTCTACAAGTTTTAGTTAATTTTTCATAGGAATAGGGGTTGAGGTACAGATAAGAGGTCAGGGTTTAAAAAAAGGGGGGGGGTAAAATTCCAGAGAGTGCAAGAGTATTCTTACATCCGCTTATACAGCTAAATTTAAAAGGGAAATCACACAAAGAGAAAACTATAGCAATTTCCCAGAATACCTGTAGTACTAATGTTCCATTTGCTTGGACCTTCCCCTTCTTTCCCTTTTTATTTTAAAGCTTACTAATTCTGTAAGTTTAATATTATTCTGACAAGTTGATGTCCACTGCTCTAAATCAATATTATAACCAACATTTTGTGCCCATTTTAATCATATAATCTTTCACCACAAAGTACCCTTTTACATTTTACATTTCCTGCATTTGTTAGGAATATTTTCATACCTCTTAGACAATTTAGTTGAAGTCATATACAGGGGGGAGGGTAAAATTCCAGAGAGTGCAAGAGTATTCTTACATCCACTTATACAGTTAAATTAAAAATGGAAATCACACAAAGAGAAAACAGTATAGCAATTTCCCAGAATACATGTAGTTACTAATGTTCCATTTCCTTGTACCTTCCCCTTCTTTTCCTTTTTATCTTAAAGCTTACTAATTCTGTAAGTTTAATATTATTCTGACAAGATGATGTCCACTGCTCTAAATCAATATTATAACCAATATTTTGTGCCCATTTTAATCATATAATCTTTCACCACAAAGTACCCTTTTACATTTTACATTTCCTGCATTTGTTAGGAATATTTTCATACATCTTAGACAATTTAGTTGGAGTCATATACCATCTATAGAACATCTTATCTACATTTTCTTATTCTGGCAAGTTGATGCCCACTGCTCTAAATCAATATTATAACCAATATTTTGTGTCCATTTTATCAAGTAATCTTTCATTCATTTATCTTCCATTATATCGACCATTTATATTTAATTAAGTCTGCCCCCAAAAACTTTATCAGCTTCACATACTCTCTCCTTCTTTGTTCCAGCTGGCAGAAAAGAATAATTTCTTTGTTACCACCACCGGGATGGAGTCAGCTTTCCAATCTGCTCTAGCCCATGCTCAATTTAATGTGCTCCAATTTTTCTGCCATGATTCTTTTAGTCTTTCAGAGGAGTACTTTCTTTGGGGAGACAAAATACTGTAATGATCTTCGTACATCTGAAGAGTTGCCACACAGAAGGCGAAGAAGACTATTGTCTTGTTGCTCTAGCACTGGTTCCTAACCTTGGGTAACCTGGATGTTCTTGGACTGCAATTCCCAGAAGCCTTCACCACCAGCTGTGCAGGCTGGAGTTTCTGGGAGTTGCAGTCCAAGCACTCATGGTTGGGAGCCACTGCTCTAGAGGAGGGGGAATAGAAGCCAATGGGTGGAAGTTGTTGGGAAAGAAATTTTGATTGAATGTTGGAAGAAATGTCCTAACTGCTCTGTGGTGGAAGAAAGTAAAGAGAGACAGAGTTGGAAAACAACAATTTTCTACAGCAAATGGCATGGCTATACATGGCATCAATGCACCATAAATGTATGTTTTGGAGTACAGATTCTCATCATAGATGTTTCAAACCCTCAAGGCATCAAAAATGCAAGCTGCACTGTTAAACCTGACAGAATGATGTTGTGTTCCCCATGCCACCCCCAGAACAAAACACTTTGTTGGTTCCATTAGGGCCTCCCTTTCAGAAGAGGAGCAAGGAAGGACATTTTGAAACAAAAACCAGCTGGGTGCGGCTTAAACTGCATTTATCCAGATATGGGTAGGGCCTTTCAGCACCAGAGGAGAAAGGCCCTAGAGAAGAAAGTCATTGCAAACTTCATGCTGTGTACTGAATGCAAAACATATTTTAGTGCTAATGTCAGTCACAAGCTGGCCCCTCCTCACATCCAGGTCCTGGAAAATAGTCTGAACAGGGTCTAGGCAGGTGATACCCCCAAGAAATGAAGCGGCAGAACCAATGCAGGATTGTTTAGTTGAAGAATGGGGTTGTTCTCTTGACAGAAACTACTCTACGGAGCACATGTTGTTGCTTAGGTGCTTTGTGAAATGGTTTAAAAATTCCTTGATCCAGAGTTTACAAGACATTGTGTCTATAAAATAAAACTAATAGTGAACTTTGAAGCACGCAGGCTCTACAAACTAAAAACGGTGCACGTTAAATATGTTTGTGTGAAATAAATACATTTGTGTTCCTTTTAGTGATACGGAGTGTGAGGCAAGATCTTTGTCGTACAGACAGGCACCGTTTTCTTAGCACACCCCCTGTGGCCTCTAGGTGAGCGCTGTCTCGAGGCGCTGTGCTTCTCTGGTGCTGAAAGGAGCTCCGGCAGCTTTTGGTCCAGAACACCAAAGGCCAGGTGGGTGATGCCACCCCTTCGAACTAAAGCATCCTCTCGCAGATCCAACGATGGCTTTCTTTGCAGGAGGAGTCCTGCCATAGGCTGTTCTTCATCAGAGCGCAGTTCTCGCTTTTTCCACCATTGGGCTCGCTGGTTTGCCAGTAGCTAGAAAAACAAGGATAAAACGTTTATCTTAGGATTGAAGGTATCCTGGCCTCCGCTTTTGTTTTTCCTTGGTAAGTGGTCCAAGAGGAATGGGTAGGAAAATGTAATGGATTCAGACTTTAACTGCCAAAAATTCCAATCAACTTGCAGACAGTTGTAGGCCAAAATTGTAACTTTTCCAAATCCTACCCATGATATCCTCAAATATCTTATTATATTCATTGGAACTGGTCACTTATCGAATCAGTTGATCTCTTTAGCCCAATCGTATATGTTCTGTTTGGCCATAACTCCCCAGGACCCTACGCAGGAGTCTTTCCCCATTTCTGCTACCCAAGATTTTTATAACTGAAGATGTGATCCAAGAAGAGCATGGCCAGATCAGAGTGATCCATCTAGCTCAGCATCCTGTTTCCCTGCGAGATAATGTATGTTGGGTGCTCTTGAGAAGCTCGTAGGCAGGTTTTGGGTGTATGCACAACAATAATTTTACTGTAGTGTTCCAGGCCATGCTAGTCAGAATTACAGTGCTTCTGGTCTTGGAAATGCAGCATATAGAAAGGAGGACAATGTCCATTGACAGACTTCTCTATGATATTTTTTTCTTGTCTCCTTTTAGAGCCAGCCAAGCCACCAGCCAATCATCTCCCATAGCAGCAAATATTATGCAATGCCATATCAATGTCAGGCAGTGCAGAGAACTTCCTTGTTAAATGCTAACCTCAGAAGTATTGTATGCCAAGGAGGTGCTCTTTCACTGAGCTCTTATCTCTGTTATTCCAAGCTTTTATTCTTTCCCCTCAAAAGTTGTGAAACAAGCAACAGATGATTATTGAGTAAGAAAAGGGAGCAAAGCCCCTTCTTGGCTCTCATGAATAAACATTGCGAGACTTAAGAGGGGCCCTACGGTGAGGATTAGAGAGGTATTGAAAATGAGTCCTTGGATTGTGATGGTGGTGGTGATTATTTTGATAACTGAAAGATGTAATAGAATACCTTAAACAAATAGCTAAATAAATAACCAAACATGCTTAATTAAACTTCAGACTGACTGATAGTTTTTAAATAATAGTCAGTTTAAACAATTCTGATCAGACATTGAAAAACCCCTTTCTAATTGTCTCTGGAAAAGGCCATTGATAGGATAGAATGTTTTTTTCCTATACGTTGTATCACACAATGGCCAAAATCCTATTGTCATCTTACAGCAGCATGATGCAAACTCTGTAACTTTTGGCAGCAAATTGTGAAGTCAACATCAACATTATCTGTTGTAGGCATGATTTGGTGTGCAAGAGGGAGTGTCTTGCACTGATTGCTTAACTTGCAGCACTTCCCCAGTCAAAAGCAAAGACGTGTGTGTTATGTTCACAATCATAAGTGATGGGATTTTAGTCGTGCAGACTTAAAAAGCATACTAAAAGTCACATTAGAAGAAGCACATTGAGTTAAAATTTATTTGTGAATAAAGACCCTGCTAGGGCAGTATTTTCTAAACAGTTATCCACTCCCAACTGTCCTCAATCAAATCCTCAGCCATGGCTTACCTGGTTTTAGAGTCTACACCTGTCCCATCCACCCACTTCCAGTTGCCTTCATGCACCTGGTCAGTAAGGCCAATCCAACTAGTAGAAGACTTCACAATTCGTGTGACGTGGCCCTGATAACAGAGAAAATAAGACCCAGAAGCACAACTATTTTAGTCAACTGCAACAAAAAGGAAAATAATTTTTTTTTGAGCAGGGCTGGCCCTCCAAGCATGCTGGACCCCAGATTCTGGATCCCAATTGGCTAGGCTGGAGAAGGCTGGCGGAGGTTACAGGACAGAATGGTGGGAGGCCTACGAAGGTCCCTTTTGCTCTGCAGCATCCGGACCTCGGCCGTGCTCACTATTCCGCCCCGTCTTTCGTCTCTGCAGCTCAGAAGAGCAGGACAAAAAGAGAAGAGCATTTTTGGCCGTGCTCACTATTCCGCCCCGTCTTTTGTCTCTGCAGCTCAGAACTTCCACAAGAGCAGGACAAAAAGAGAAGAGCATTTTGGCTATGCTTCCAGGAGGCAACATAGACCAAGAGGACACTGCTTTTATTCATAGGCTAGTATTCACTGCTTTTATTCACAGCCACAAAGAGCAGAGGTGACAGGCTAGTATGCACTGCTTTTATTCACAGCCACAAAGAGCACTGGCTACAATAAATGGGTGTTATGCCATTGTTTGAGTGTTCCCCATAATCTCCCTGCCAAGTATGGGGTGTTGCTTGCAGACCTCCTTGCACTACATGGGAAGCCACGGTGTGCGCTCCAGTTTATTTTTCGGCAGGGCATTTGTACCTCCTTGGCATAAATCAGGGGTACGCTATGGATGTTTTGCCATGGTGAGAGATTGCTTCCGTCCCTATTGCCTATGTGTGTTCTGCTGCGGCTCAGCCCGCTGCTCCCTTCCTCTCTATGCCCGAACCCTGATTTCATACTCGTACACACGCCTCTATGAGCGCTGCCTGTCAGAGTCATATCTCATGTTATGGCTTTGCTGCTGCTAGCATGGTATCTGGCTGGTTCTGTACGGTGCCCAGAGAAAATGGCGTAGTGGTTTCCACAGCCCTTCTCCCCAGTGGTGCTGGCTTCACCAACCTCCTCCTCTGCACTGTTGATCATCACCAGGTGGGAGTCCATAGCAGCACATGACTGGTTGGCCAGCTCCCAGGATCCCGGAGCATAGGAGAAAAAGTAGTATTTCCCCTGAAAGAAGGTCCAGTCCCGGCCAAGAGAGGTGCAAACCGCTACGAAGGAGAGAGAAAAGGTGAGTCACTCCATTTGCATTTATTCAAAGCGTCAGTCCATCCTTCCTTCCAACAGTGTGAGAAGCTGCTTTCCTCTCTTCCATAAACCCAATAAACACCCCAGCACCACGTCCAGCACCCTTGTCCAAGGCCACCTGAACACCACCCTTCCACCACGCCATTTGCAGACAGCCGTCTATCATCTCTGGGGCAGGGAAATGGCAAGCCGGGGGGTGGAGGGTGTTGTTGTGGAGAGCACTTGGGGTCAACCCCACAGAGATCCTGTCCAACATGTTAAACAGTAGACAAGGTCCTGGGTGGGGCCAGGAGTAGAATCTGCTTCAGAGAGAGAGAGAGAGAGAGAGAGAGAGAGAGAGAGAGAGAAGACCTGCTGAAGCAGGGGAGGGACAGCGTAAGACCTTTGCACTTACGGGCACCTCTTCAGAGCTTGAAGCATTATCGCCTGAAGCCATGTAGGGATGTGAGAGTGGGAAGGACAAGGATGAGAGTGTAAGATCTTTGCACTTACGGGCACCTCTTCAGAGCTTGGTGCTGAACTCACAGAGTTTGGAGTGACCTCCAGGGGCAGGTGAGTTGGAACTTCCCTGCATGCTTCCATTCCCACCATGCTTAAAGCCCCAGAGGGTTTCAGGGCGTAATGCCTGGAGAGGGGGAGGAAGACTCTCCTGCAAGCACGAGAATGGAAAGGAGAACTGTGCTTCTGGCCTGTGCATCTCTGAGTGGTGTGTTCAGAGGCCACGGCTGTAAACTCCAGAATCACAAGATGGCACCATCGTATGCCCTGAGATTTCAGGTGCAAAGTCTGGGACCTGGGGAAGAGACACGTGTTTCCCCCCAAATAACCCTGAGTCTCAGGTGATAGATCGGAGACCTGTCAGCCCTGGGGACCCCTGTGGGTCAGCACCTTCTCCCTCCTCAAGGGCTAGCTGCAAGCCATGTACTTTTCAGGGCCTGTGGAAAGAGAACTGGATCCAGCCTTCTGGGAACAGATGGGATCTGCTCAGGGAAGGTACCTCTGCCAAGTTTCCAAGGAACTCCACTGAATCTTAGCTCTTCATTTAGTAGAGAGCCACAAACACCAGTGCAGTGTTTTCTGAGATCCAGAGAGGCTGCTGGAGGAAAGAGGGCTGGAGTTTTATTTGCAACCTTACATGCTGTCTCTGGTTTGAGTGACTAGGAGGGCCTTTGCTTAGAGCTGGAGTGATTATCTATCCAGCACTATCAATTTTTTTTATTCCAGCCTTTGATCTCAAATACAGCCCTGCCAATCTGCTCAATGCCTCATTCTCTCTCTTTCCTAGTTGGGTGGCAGTTGTTTGTTTACTGTTGATCTGTTTCAAATTTTTTTCTTCCAACCTTTGATCTCAAATACAGCCCCCCCAATCTGCTCAATGCCTCTTTCTCTCTCTCTTTCCTAGTTGGGTGGCATTTGTTTGTTTGCTGTTGATCTGTTCAGTTGGTTGTCAGTGTATGTGTGGTAAAGAAAGCAGTATGCAGAAGTCTATAATTTCAAGCAATTGTAAGTACAGAAATGATCTGTAACTTCAAGGAATTATAAAGAAATGTTTCCGTTCATTTCCCTATGAATGTGTCAGAGTGAGTTATTGAGATTTTAAGTGTCAGTTAATAAGAAAGGGATGGGTTCTGGGGAGTGTGTAGCTATTCTCCTCTGTGGATCTCTGTACTTCTACTATGTAGCAAAAAAATAATTTTTTTTACAAGAAATTACAAACTGTGTAACAAAAAGGAGTAAGTTCTGTTTCTGCCAGTCCAGAAGCAGCAAGCCCTCCACAAGGCTTTCACCCAGAGGTGGCTGGAGCGTTGCTCGAACTCCTCAAGCATATTTCAACCATGGCAGAGGTAGCAGGGGACAGGAATAACGTCGGACGTGGAGAAGAGCCAAGGAGCAACAGAGGCAAAGACAGGTGGGAAGGGGTTCCTGGAACCTCAACCTAATCAACGGCTCCTTTACTGATAGGCAGAAAACTTTTGGGATGTCTCAACCCCCCCTCCTCTTCCTGCCAGGAGCTCTGGTCAACAAATCCTAAAACAGATCTTTAGCTTGGCCACGTGGCCTCATTTAGAGGAGACAATCTTCCCTTTGAAGGTGCTTTGTCTTTGGAGGACAGTCCAGTACAGTGGGGTCTCTACTTAAGAACTTAATCCGTATTGGAAGGTGGTTCTCAAGTTGAAAAGTTCTTATGTTGAATCTGCATTTCCCATAGGAATGCATTGAAAACCATTTAATCCATATCTGCTCTTTTCCGTCCATAGAAACTACAGTGGAACCTCTACTTAAGAACTTAATCCGTTTTGGAATGGTGTTCTTAAGTTGAAACGTTCTTAAGTTGAAGCAAAATTTCCCATAGGAATGGACTGAAAACCAATTAATCCGTTCTGGCTGTTTTTTTGTTATGTAGAGGTGCGTTCGTACATTGAAGCATTAGTTCCCATAGGAACTAATGCAAAGCTGGTTAATACGTACTCTACCACTAGGGGGAGAATTTTTTTTTAACCTAAGATGAGACATCCCAAAAAAGAGCAGGAAAGGTTTTTTTTCCTGTTCTTATCTTGGATTTCTGTTCTCAAGTAGAAGCAAAATTTAGCAAATGGAGCTGTTCTTAAGTTGGATTGTTCTTAAGTAGGGACGTTCTTAAGTAGAGACCCCACTGTACGAGTTTGAGTTTTAAAAAAAATATCGGAAAGATATCCACAGCGGGCAGCACCTGGACAGCAGCCTCAGGAGGCCCACGGGCCCACCTTGCCCACATTTCCCCCCTCCATGATGTGAGAAGGGCTGTCAATGTATTGGTTACATTATCAAAACAATCAGCACAAACACATTACCATATGTAATGCAAAATAAATATGTGTGCAAATTCAAAACCAAACCAAACCTCAGTTTTGTTTATGTCATGAGCCAGAGGTCAGATGTTTGATTTGCTGGTGGGAAAAGGGCCGGCCTGTGTAGCCTTGGGCAAGCTGCGCAGTCCCGGGCTGCTTCCGGAAGAAGGGAATGGATGGGAGATCACCTTCTGAATCCAATCATCTATAGCTTGGAAAACCCTGGAAAGGGTCACTGTACGTCCGAATTGACCTGAGAGCTTGTAATTATGATCACTATTAGTGGCCACCGTATAGACAAGTAAGTAACACAGTTTTTGATGCAGAACTCAAGCATTATGTTTGCATGCAAAGCCTAAAGATAGGCTTGGCTGTCATTTCTCAGCACCCAGTGGACATCCTGTTCTGTTTGCCCTGCCAGGAGGCAATTTCCTCTGGTGTGGGATGCTGCCCATCCATACATCTGAGCACAAGCATGGTTCTTTCCATGCCAGAAGGGGACAAGCCCACTGGTGGGGAGAGACTGCTGGGGAGACTCACGGTTGCAGACGTTGTTGTGGCTCCCATAAACAAGCCAACGGCTCCAGGGCCCGCTGCCACTGTACAGGATCACCAGCTGTTTGACGCTGTTCCCATAGTTGAAATAGAGCGCCTCACCCTCCAGGGCCAAGAGGTCGTGGTCACGGCATTCCCAGCGCTGGAGCGGGCTGCCAGCGTTGCAGTGCTTCAGAACGAGAGCCTGTTTGTTTTTCACCCCTGGGGCGGCCACGCAGAGTTGGGAGGCCACGTGGCGGAGGAGGCCTCCGGAGAGCAGCTGAAAATGCTGTGCCCGGTCATCAGGGTGGCAGGAAGCTCCTGTGAGATGATGGGTCTCTTGCCTGGCCACACAAAGCTTGTGCTGGGCATTGTACAGCAAGAAGGAGACGGGGCCTGGGGCAGGGAGCAGAGTTGGCGTGGCGAGGAGTTGTAGCAGGCAGGGAGAAGTGGGGACGGGGGTTTGCCAGCCATGCGGAAAGGAAAGAGGGGGTGGGTGGGGAACAGAGAGAGGGAAGGACAACTTAGGTGGAGCCTCTTGAGGGAGAAAGGCAGGGTTTGCCTATTTTAATTGAATAATAAATAGTCAACACCACAGAACAGGACCATGAAAATGGCGAGGCACACACAATCTCCATCTAAGGGAGAGGAAGCCAATGAACACTATTTAAAAAGAGTGAAATAACTACAGTATTTCCAATACTCAGGTGGACTAATCAAGTGTTTACATTTCTGCATATCCATTTTGGAATAAAATGTTTACACTTGAATTGTGAGGGTAAGCCTTCCTTCAGAGTTTGATTTTGAACCTTAATATGCTCCATATGAAATATATGAATATGTTTTACAGTATGTTTTATTTCTGAAAGATCTGTGCACTTTCAGAAACTGACAGCCCCTGAATGTCAAATGCTGTTATAGTAAAGGTATTGCAGTCCCTTTTAAAATGAACAGTAAATAAGATTTTGAATCAAAATACTAGAAATTGGAGTCAAAGTATGTGTACCACAGTCAATATTCTAAAAATATCACCATATTGTCCAAAAGTATAATACACACAAAATGGATAGATCGATGAAAACTTTTTTTAAAAAGAGGCTGAGCTGGCACCTCAGGGTGCCTACCACAACTCACCAGTGTCCTGAAGCTGCCTATTCTCTTTCTCAACTTGCTCCAGTGTAGTAGTCATCTTGGAATCTGCAATGGGTATACACAGAGATGAAGCAGAACAGTCCAAGGAGAATAGTTGGCAGTAACTAATGCCCAAGTGTCGGGAGGAAGTCTACAAAGGCGTTAGGAGGTGGGGGCTGTCTGGAAATCTGGACTCATTTCATTGATTAAGTGACTATGCAGCATACATATTACCTGAAGTTTTCAACATTTTGGTGTCTTTGTTTGTATTCCAGGTATTATTATTATTTTAATTGAACAAAGGTGTAGTTCAGCCTAGAAATACTAGGGGCCAGGGAAGGAGACTTTCAAAAATGACCATACTGTACTTTCAATCTCTTTCTGTGATATACTGTATTTTGTAATGAACTATGCCCACCGGTGAGCCTTGGACCATCTAAATAACCAGAGCTCTCTTAACCACTTCCACTCACCACTCTAGAAAACACACACAGGAAAGGAGGAATTCTCCTTTCAGCCGAAGCAACCTCGTGTAGCTGGAAGTGACCAGCCCTGCCATTTGGCAGAGTGAGGCAGACTCCCTTGGACAAGCAGTTCCAGGCCTCACGAAGGAACAGGAAAATGATAGGTGCTGCATATTGTTATTCTCATATTTTGACTGCCAAGGATGAGGAGACGTGCTTGTGAGATGTTTGCCAATGAAGTTTGTCTGACTTTGGGTACATCATCCTTTGAGTGAGGGGTGCTGTTGGTTGCTTGGCGTCAGTGACAAAACTCTCCCCAGTCCTCTGGATCAGGAGGAGGAGGAGGAGGAGAGGAAGAAGGAGGAGTCCTCAAATATTTGTCCATAAGCTGCTTCTTGTATGTCGCAGTCTGGTTTGAAGAGCAGAATGGAGGATGAGGGGAACCCAAGACATCTTCTGCTGAGAGAGAGGCCACTGGCTCATGCAGCTCTATCATGCACACCATAACTGGCAATGAATCTTGTAGACCAAGATCCTTCCCAGACCCAGCTGGTGATGCCAGGGATTGACATTGGCAGCTTTTGCAAGTGGGGCCCCTGTGCTCCCATTCCGCTGCAGCCCTGTCCCCAGAATCCTGCCACCCTTCCTTATCCACAGTATGAACCTTCTGACTGAGCAGCAAGTTCCCCTCTTAGTCGAGGAAGCCCTGACTGGTCTCCCTCTCCCTTTGGAGATCCAGAAGGTTACTTACAATGTACCGTTCCCACTGCAAGCAGCAGCACATTCAGGGACACGGAGAGGGTCAACAAGGCGACACAAGTACCAATCACCACCCTGTGAGAGCATGTTGGCCTCCAGGCTGGAAGAGAGGAGAGAAAAAAAGTCATTCCACCTCTTTCCTCTCCAGGGAACGGGGAAGATACTGACCGTGTGGACCAGCGTATTCTGGGACATGTCGTCCAAAAAAGTATCTTTCTGCATCTTTCCCCACACATTGTCAGGTCTGAATACTTCAACATCTTGGTTTGTCGCCTTTGTTTTGAAACCATCCCATTTTGACAATGTGAAAAAAACACAGCAGCAGCATTTAAGGTGATGCCATGAGACATTAGTGAGGAAGAAACATTTTTAAACTATCTAACAGTCGTTTCTTCCAATTGCTTCATGCACTAACATGGGTGCAAGGTCTCTAGGCCATAACTTGTTCCTCATCTTTTTGAGATCCACTGATAAAAATGGGAAATTTTAGCAACCATGCCCCAGTTCTACTGACTTCTCGTACTTCAGGTTGCAATAAAAAACTAAGTATTTTGCCAGGTCTTCGTGGCCATTGTTCACCCAGCTTGCAGCTACTTCCCCTTTCAGATCTCTTTCTGGCAGTCCACTGTCCAAAGAGTAATCACGGGGACTACCTGTGGCTCTTTGGAGATCTGAGTCACCACATACCTGAGGGTTGTGATGTAGGCACTAGCTCTGTTGGTTTCCATTCCAGCTTAGTCAGAGGGTCAACAGCCTCATACAGACCGTCTTCCTCAGAGTTCCCCTTGGAGCCTGTTGAGAGAAAAGACGGATCCTCATTAGAGAACTTCAGTTGTGTGCACATGTACAATATTGAGCTGAATAGCAGCAATGAGCTGGACATTTTGCTTTCAAACAATATTGCAATAGAAGGCCAGTTTGAAGAAGAACTGGGGTGTGGCATCCAATCCAGAGCTGCAGCTTTAAAACAACAACTTTAACGCTTCCTGCATCTTTCCTGACTTACATCTAAGAAAGATGTGCCTGGCTAAATCTATCTTGCCAAGAACCTTTTTTTTTTGGACTTTAAGTTCTTTACCCTGGTATAAGCCTGATGAAGTGCTCTTGATCCACAAAAGCTTGCATTTTGTTTGATGAATTTTTTAAATTGTCTATAAAAGCTGCTTCCTCTAATCTAACACAAGAGACATGTGAGCTAAACAGCACTTTCCTGGGGAGGACCTGATTGGCGATAACTTGGATGTCCCGAACCCAATATTTGCCACACTTGAAGGGGGTGGGGAGGAGAGTCAGCCCAAGAGTCAGACTAAGTTTGGGGAAGATTGAACTTCGGATGTATGAGTGATAGCCCACATATAGGTTATGTGCCAATGCCGATAATAGTTTTCCGTTTCATTTCATTCTTGGGCAGGCATGTTTTCCTGAACCACCCCAAATTGAACCATAAAACAGCCCAATCCGTGGTGGTGGTGGTTTTGGCTTCGTGGCTCATTTCGTGTCCATCTCTACTGTTGATGGAGGCTGAGTCACTGACAAGACTAGCTGTTGACACTGATACAGAACCGGTAAGTCTCAGGACTCCGGAAGCCAACTTGATCCATATGTTTCGAGGGAGGTGGGGCATATCATTCCAAGCGATCTGGTGCCCTTATTGCAGTTTCTGAGCAGACCCCATAACCAACAATTTCTGGAACTCTAGGCGGGCATCAGCACCGTCTCCTACCTACTCTGCCCTGATGCATGGACATGAACTCCCCCAACAAAGAAATAAAGTGTATGTTTCTTCCCTAGAAAATAGGAAATGGCCTATTTAATGTGTTCTCAAAGGCTTTCACGGCTGGGATCCGATGGTTGTTGTGTGTGTTTTTTCTTTCGGGCTGTTTGGCTGTGTTATGGAGAAAAACTCAAAACAACCAATTTTGCTGTTTATTTTCCTAACACCCACCCGTAGACCCCTATATTTCAGTGCTATCTACATTTTGGTGCATTGGGGCAAATCCACACTTGCTCCACCCAAGTTACAGCCCCAGTTCTGAGCTATGAGCAGAAATACAGAAAAATAGCGGTGGGGGTTGTTGAGGGGAACACAACAACCCTGGTGCTGTAAAGCACGGCTGCCTCTCCAAGCAGTGCTGGATTGCAATTCCCTTGGGACATGAGTCCAAAGGCGTTTCGAGGGCTTCTGGTTGCTCACTCTTCCTATATGACAATGGCTAGCAACCTATAAAAGCCAGTCCTTTAAAACAAAACAAAACAAAAAACCCATTTGCTCTCATCCACCAGACTGTGCCACCTACCTGAATGGCTTCTCTGCTCATGGCTCCTTGGTTCCTCTAGCCCACAATCAGGCACATCCACATTAATGTACAAATCCTTGCACGATGCCATCACAGAGACATGGCCCTTTGGAAAGCCTGCAGTGTGTACTGTATACGTGCCAGCACATCCAGTGCTGCAGAGCAAAAATGAGGAAGCTGAAGGAATCTTCAAAAGCCACAGCTGATTTCTGTAAGGAAATGGAGGAGGTCCTCTGCCAGGCTCCTGGCTGCAGAGAACAGGGAAGGAAAGACTTCCCATGCCTCCTGAAACAGATGATGGCAGTTTGACGGGTAAGTACATTTCCCCCTCAACCTGCACAAGTCTGGTAGACAAGGTCTTTGAGCCCCCAGGTACACAAACTCCCAACGAGAACAAGAGTTTAACATCTGATTTTTTAAAACAATGTTTAATATCTGTTGAAAAGCAAAACATTTCAGTAATGCTTTACTGAATACATATCACTAAGGAGACACCATTCTTTTTTCTTTTTCTTTTTTGGAATCTGGTTCCCAGAATTTGCCAAGAATTTGCCAAACAGAATCTTGAGGATTGCAGCACACACAGACTCAGGCCTTCAGGCTCCTCTGCTTTTCACTCGCCTGGACCAGGGCCTACCTCCAAGATTGTAAGGTACCAAAAAGGAAACTGCTGTGATGCTTCATGGGTGGGGTGGTTCTTCAAGAGGCTGCTTCCCTTTTTGTACATTTACAATGAGAGCAAGGCTGGAGGTAGGCAGCCTTGGAGATAAGACTCAGGTGAGTTAAATCTAGGTGGTCTTTTAAGGAGTGTGTTGGTGTAGAATTCTTGGGGAATTCTGCGGAGTAAAAAAAAAAAAGGCACATCCCCCCTAGTTACCACTAGCCTCCACATATGAACATTTCACAAAATGATTTTATTTCCTACATCACAGATGCTTCTGTCTTAATGTTAAAGTGCAGTCTTTTACTAAAGATCAAATGTGATATTGAAGAGAATACGTATTTTCTTTCAGGATTTCCTCTGAGCCGTGTGCTTCAGAAATCAGACTTGCAAAGTAAACTGTTTGCTTTTTCTGATGACCAATCACAAAACAAAACAGTGAAATGCAAGATAGAGAGGTGAGCAAAGTATTCCCCAAACACTGGGAGCCAATGGGTGTGGGAGAAGGCAGCAATAAGAAGAAATGGTGTTAAGCATTTATTTTGATGATCAATCAGTGTGGATAAAGGAAGACTCTGCTTGGGCACCGTCATGACAGCGAACCCAGTCTATCTCTCAAGAGTCCTAATGTATATGGTACAGGTTAACAGCATGCATATCTGGAAAGCTTGGAAAGGTTTAACACCTAAGGAAAAGTACGTAATTGTAATATCTGGAACGATGCTACTGATGATTCAGCAGTATCAGCCAATCAGGCTGATTGAAGGACTTTTAAATACCCAGAGCAAGCTTCCTTTGCTCTCTCTCTCTCCCCCCCCCCTTGGAAGCTTGCTCATCCCATCACAAGACAATGGGACTGAAGGACAACATGCTTGTGCTTGAATCAGGGCCAAAGTGGGTGTGTTAGGGATTGTTATTCTGTTTGGCTGTGTTGAGCTTCCAGAGCGCCCACATTTAACCTTTAATTTCTTACACCATTTTACAATTTTTAAATTGTGCCCACTGACCAGTCTCTTTGTGATGATTTATTTTAGATTACCTTGTTGAATATGTTACATACTCCCCCTTTTTCCCCAGATGTAATAAAGTTCTTAGAAACAATCCAGTCCATTCATGCCTGCTGCTTCATAGGCACAGAGAAAACCCCGTTTCTTATATGTATGTTCTGTTCTGGGCCTGCACAGGAAACCTCCTTTGCCTCATCGGCCCAACGGTTCGTTTGCTGCCGATAGCGAACTCTGAAATCAGAACAGAAGGAGGAAGCAGCCAGCTTAGCACACACTCTGATGCCTCTTATCGTTCTCTCTCCTGCCTCCTTTCCCTTCCTCTGTCCATTTGTGTGGTGATATTCACACTGAAGGCTAGACTTCCTGGGCAGGATGTGAGCATTATCTCCCTGGCCACCAAGTATTGCTTTTTTTTTTGGCCTGGCCATGCCTCAGCTTCTCAAGCATTACGTTGTTTCTTCTTTCCTATGCTTATGTATTGCTGACATTTGCTTTTGCAGACCACTTTATAAATAACCAGTTCTTCTTGAGAGAAGTAGAAACCACCTTGGTTGTATCGGTCTTCCATTCCTCAGTCCTTTCCCCTTTTCTTGTAACCTAATCCAATTTCATTTGTGATTAAAATAAGCGTATGTTAGGAGGGTCATGTTATAGCAGTATACAGTGTGTTGTGGCTTCATCCACAGCTCACACTAGATGTTTCCTTGGGGCAGGCATCATTCTCACGCAGATCCAACCCATGAATACAAGTGTTGTGTCCTGGCAATCAAGATGTTTGCCCACATTATTTTGGAATTATTGACCAGGATACATTCCAAAGTACTGTTGGTAGGCACCAGACTCTCTTATTGCAACTATTAACCCCCCTCCCCACATGTTTAATATTATCACTAGAGAAAGACCCATCAAGAGGTCTGGTCCTTTCCTCAAAGCCTAACTCCATGACCTTCCTTATCTTTTCTCCACTGTTTTTTTAAGAGTCAGGAGTGGAATCAGATGTCCCTTTTGTGCCTCAGATTTTGGCCTGCTTATGTTGCCCCACAGCAGTGTGTGTGTTTACATGGCACTGATAACTGAGTTAGTCACCCTGTTGTGAACACTCCAAAATCGATAAAGAAATTTGCCAATGGTCATGACATCATTTCCACTGCACACATAGAACTACTGTACACAATAGGATTGTGGCCTGTATGCATTTATCCATATGTTTCTGTATCACAGGGTGATGCCTTGATTTAAACAGGGGTACCAAGTCATCTCAGAGGACCATGGCTCTGTCTGTGTTTTGGTGTAGTGTGTGGGATTGTAACTGATCTCACAGTTACTAATGCTCACAATCCCATACACTACACCAGAACACAGACAGAGTTTTAGCTCCTTTCCTTTGAAGATGCTGGCCACAGAGACTGGAGAAACATTAGGAAGAAAAACCTCCAGAACATGGCCAAAAGCCCAGAAAACCTACAACAACCATTGGATCCTGGCCATGAAAGCCTTTGAGAATACAGATAATCAATTTTTTTATATATCAGGCTTAGTGTGCTAGGAAAGGATTGGAATGACTTCCTCTCAGGAAAAAAGTAGTCTGGATCTCAGTGGTGAGGTTGCCATTTTCAACCTATCAGGCTCATTCAGGGATCTTTACTAGGAAGAACATTTCCTCTTCCCTTTTTCAGTTGGCCAAGAGAGAGAAAAGAGCTTTCGACAACAGCTGACAGACACTCACACTTTGTCTGTCAGATACTGTCAGTCAGATCTGTGAGAGGTATATACTTATTTCACTTCATGATGTTACCTAGAAATGATTGCAGGTATTTTTTTCTAATAAAATTGGTCCCAGGGAAGCCACACTGTGAGTTGATGCTGCCTTATGTTAATTTAATGGAATATTTAGTATTTTTTTTAAAAAAATAAGCTTTATAGCACAGACAAAATGTAGCCTGCCTTCTTAGACAAATGTAACCTGCCTGTTGTCTGTGCAGGTATCAAAGACTTGCAGTTAATAATGGGGCAGATTATCCTTTAGCACTTGGGCTTTGTTTGAATCTCTCAGTTCCACAGACGGCAACAGATACTCCATCACAGACATCCACTATGCTGAATAAAAGTGGAGAGGTGGCAGAAGCTCTACCTCTGAGTAAGTAAGGCTGCATGGAGGTATGGAGGAAAGCCTCTCCGATGTCAGGCAGAGCAGGTGGTGTGTCCTACTGAATGTTCTGGTGCCCCCTTACTGATCATGGTGTCTAGGTGACAAGGGGATGGCAAGGAACAGTTTTCCGAATCCAATTCAGAAGGTGATGCTTGGTTTGAAAAACAAACAAACAAACCCAGTATCTCCCTCCAACATACACATTTTAGACTAGCAATGCAGCTAGCTGTCAAAACAGGAGCAGAAACCCATATCCTTATGGGTTGTACTTTATCTCACTCTATGTGGTCAGCTAAAAATGTCATTTCCTCCTTGGTAGGTGGCTCTGAATTGTTCTGCAACTAAAGCGACCCTTCCCTGCCATTTCAGCACTTCAACAGGGATGTTGTCCCTTCCAGGTGCCTTGCCAGAGGTGAGGGAATCCAAGGCCGCATTTATTTCTGCTAGGGTTGGTTCGCTGTCCAGCTCTTCCAAGACAGGCAGGCACTCAATGTTATTTAATGCTTCTTCGGTTACTACATTCTTTCTGGAATATAGCTCGGAGTAGTGCTGCACCCAGCGTTCCATCTGCTGTGCTCGGTCCTGGATGATCACACCTGTAGTAGACTTCAAGGGAGCAGATTTCTTCTGTAATGGACCTAAGGCCTGCTTGATACCATCATACATTCCTTTGATGTTACCTGTGTCCGCTGCTATCTGTATCTGAGAGGAAAGCTGAAGCCAGTAGTCATTGGAGCATCTCCTGGCAGCCTGTTGGACTTGGCTACGAGCGGCTCGAAGAGCTTGCAGGTTGTACTCGCTAGGACAGGCTTTGTATGCTGCTAGAGCTCTTCTCTTATCCTCAATGGCTGGCATTAACTCCTCCGAATGGGCTTCGAACCAGTCAGCCATCTTTCTGGTCTTCTTGCCGAAGGTGGACAAGGCAGTGTCTTGTCCTGGCCATGAAAGCCTTTGAGAATACAAATAATCATTTTTTTTTAATATATCAGGCTTACAGTGTGCTAGGAAAGGATTGGAATGACTTCCTCTCAGGAAAAAAGTAGTCTGGATCTCAGTGGTGAGGTTGCCATTTTCAACCTATCAGGATCATTCAGGGATCTTTAAGGTACTAGGAAGAACATTTCCTCTTCCCTTTTTCAGTTGGCCAAGAGAGAGAAAAGAGCTTTCGACAACAGCTGACAGACACTCACACTTTGTCTGTCAGATACTGTCAGTCAGATCTGTGAGAGGTATATACTTATTTCACTTCATGATGTTACCTAGAAATGATTGCAGGTATTTTTCTAATAAAATTGGGCCCAAGGAAGCAACACTGTGAGTTGATGCTGCCTTATGTTAATTTAATGGAATATTTAGTATTTTTTTTAAAAAAATAAGCTTTATAGCACAGACAAAATGTAGCCTGCCTTCTTAGACAAATGTAACCTGCCTGTTGTCTGTGCAGGTATCAAAGACTTGCAGTTAATAATGGGGCAGATTATCCTTTAGCACTTGGGCTTTGTTTGAATCTCTCAGTTCCACAGACGGCAACAGATACTCCATCACAGACATCCACTATGCTGAATAAAAGTGGAGAGGTGGCAGAAGCTCTACCTCTGAGTAAGTAAGGCTGCATGGAGGTATGGAGGAAAGCCTCTCCGATGTCAGGCAGAGCAGGTGGTGTGTCCTACTGAATGTTCTGGTGCCCCCTTACTGATCATGGTGTCTAGGTGACAAGGGGATGACAAGGAACAGTTTTCCGAATCCAATTCAGAAGGTGATGCTTGGTTTGAAAAACAAACAAACAAACCCAGTATCTCCCTCCAACATACACATTTTAGACTAGCAATGGCAAGGAACAGTTTTCCGAATCCAATTCAAAAGCTGATGTTTGGTTTGAAAAAAAAACAAACCCAGTATCTCTCTCCAACATACACATTTTAGACTAGCAATGCAGCTAGCTGTCAAAACAGGAGCAGAAACCCATATCCTTATGGGTTGTACTTTATCTCACTCTATGTGGTCAGCTAAAAATGTCATTTCCTCCTTGGTAGGTGGCTCTGAATTGTTCTGCAACTAAAGCGACCCTTCCCTGCCATCTTGAGAGACATTTGTCTCATCCTCTCTGAAAAAAAAAACAGTTCTGAGCTCTACGGAGGGCTATGATTATTTTCTATTCTTCAGCTTTTGTCTTTAGCTTGCAGTAATAAACAGGGAAACTAAGGGCTGCACTGATCCCAGTCACCATGAAAAGGGAAATGGGTAGGGAATCTAATGATGCAAAATGTTTCCCTTACAACCTTGTACCTGCCCAGGTTTGGAGCCTCCCGTTACATCCAGCATGGTGCTGCTAGTATACCAGCACATCACCTCGAGTACTCTTTTTCTGTACAGAGCATGATGAGTGCTTCTGGCAATGCATCTCAATGAACACACGCCATGGCACAAGTCAACACCTTAGTGTCAGCTCACACTGCAACTGATGGGGGTGGGTCACTGTTGCTCATTGTGACTCTACTCCAGGGAGCAGTCACTGCGGCCCAACCTCTTGTTGCACTAATTAATTTATGCAACCAGTTATTCTGTTCATGGGGACCATCTTCTCTCCCTTGCAAGTTGACCTTGTTCTGTGAAAGCTGAAATCTCTGGACGTCACAAAACAACTGCAGTTGTGGCTACTCTCAAGTCTAATTTAGAATGGGCTATCTTACAGCCTACTGAGTTTTAAGCTTTCACACAATTTCAAAAGCTCCTCCAGGCTCTGAGGCCCTTGCAGAGCTGTGGATGAAGAGAGCTGGTCTTGGCACAGTCAAAGCATTCCCGGATAGGGAAATGAAGATGACAACTCCCTGCTTTCCTTTATGTCACACATTCTAGATGATCTTTTCTTTGGGCTAAATGGATTCTACTTTATTTTTTCTTTCTGTAAAAGAAAGCTGTATGACTAGAGCCTGCATGCTGAGCATACAAAGGCTTGCTGGGTTTTCCTGCCTCTTTGAAAGAAAACATTGAGATGCTTGAATTATCCACAGCATATCTCACCCAGGAGCCCCTCAGATGTTTGAATGACAGCCTCCTAAACCACACTGAGCGTGACCCATGCTGAGGGACTCCTGTGCAGTCCAAACCACCTGGAGGAGGGCACCAGGTTGCAACCCCTGTGCTGTAGAGAGGACAATGCCAGAAATCCCCAACCTGAGTATCATAAGACAACAATAAGAACAGTGTTTTTTTGTTTTTTGGTATGTTTTCATTTTTTAGAATAAAAATAGAACAGTCAATGTGGCCCATGTTTGTAACCTTTGGCTGCCTAAGAACATAAAAGCCGAGGAACACTAGGGCTCAGCTCAAAGCAGGAATACGTTAGCCAACACAGGAACAACGCAGGCGTCTGCACCTCCTCGAGCAGGTGGTGCCCCCATAAGTGCTTAAGCCCGTCGTGGAAGAGCTGAACGAGGAGCAGGGAGGCAGCAGACGCTTCTGTTTTGGGCCTTGTAATTGGAATGCCCTCTCACAGCGAGCTGAGACACAAGACTCCAGCTCATTCATCATCTCTTATCTTCTCCCCATGTCTTTCTAACATGGAGTGCAGCATAAGTAAAGTGCTGTTTCCCCTCCTCTCCCCTCACGTGGACTTCAGGGCTGTTTCAAACAGCAGTGAGCTGGAGAAGAAGGGTGGCTTGGAAGAACTAAGCACGCCTTCGATGGCCCCAGTAGCCCTGCCTGGCAAACAAACCAGACCTGAAAGCATTAGGACTGCAAAGTGGCTAACCCAACCCCCCCCCAAATTACACTGTAGCAGCCCCCAGGGCCTTGTCACCGGCAGGTCCCTCAGTGCCATATTTCCCTTTGTTCCTGGTTCATGCCGGAAGGTAAAAATCCCACCAGGTCATCTTCTGATGTTGCAGGAAAAGCTTAAAGGGTGCACTGGAGGTGCTGGTGGTGGTCCTGGAGGTTTACTTCTGGGCTTGCCCGACGGTGACAGGTTGAATTAGGAGGTCTGGGAGACCCCTTGCCACGCCTCTCACATAACACCTCACAGGGTTAGTGCACAATATGGTCCCAGAGGCAATGCAACGGCACCCCCTCAAGGGGTGGAAGTAGCTAGAGGGGCAGGAGGCTCCTGGGGGGTCCCTCGACGATGTCGCAGGCTTTTCTCCTCATCCTACAGGAAGAAAGACAATGCTGCTGTAAGCCAGACACCACCTTTAGTAGAGAACTGTGACAGTTAGAGATTAAGCCACTTAGTTCAAATCCGCATACGAAAGTCAGAGCCCAACCATGTACAGAATGCCCACTGGACAAAGGGCTGTACAGGAATGGGGGCAAAGTGTTTCCTGCAGGTCACATCTTACCCCACCCCCCTGGTTTAGACAATTTTTCCAATTTTTAATTCACTCAGAAGGACATCTCATGCCCTCTAGGGCAGGGGTCCCCAACCTTCTGGGATGTGGGTTCCGCACTAGAGTGCCCAGCGCCTAAAGACAGCCACATCTTAAATCAAAATGCAACAAAATCATTAACCTGCAGATTTAGATCAAAAGTAAACATTCAGAGGTCAATAAAGAACTGCTAGCTCAAATGAGATCCATTTCGGAATAGCATTGTACTGTGGAATCCTTTTATCTAGCTGTACAAGCTTACCTAGTGAGTGTGATTTTGTGGCTGTTTTCGGTTAACCATGGCATTTATGTCCAAACCAAAGTTTGTGACAGATACCTTTAAATTTTTATTTGTTTATTTAAAATATTTTTTTCCCAGCCTCCTCCTTAAAAAGAACCCAAGTAAACCTTCATTCGTAAGTCTTGACTAGAGATCCGGGTATTCATATACGAATACCCCCGCACAGGTGGACATCACGAGAGTCCAGACTGCTGGGGCCGGACTGTCCACTCACCTTCCGCTGTTGCCATGGGCTCCACGCTCCCTTCCTATTGCTCCAGAGCTCACGGTGGATTAGCCACTCCTGGCAGGAGGCGGGAGGACGAGCCTTGCTGCCAGGTCGAAGAGTGGCTTGCAGACCGTGAGCTCCTAACACTTGGATTTCAAAATTTTCATCCTGCAAAAAGTTTGTTCACAGATGTCTGTAGTGCCAAAGACTGTGAACAGGCCTGTAGCAAATTGCTTTAGGTTGATAAATATATCAGGTAGACCAGAATAGAAATCTAACACACTATTTCCTTTATAAAAGTCTCTGAGATGGTTACTGGCTTGCAAATCAATGAGTTCCATCTGAAAAAAGTTACAGTGGTACCCCGCTAGACGATTACCCCGCATGACATCAAAATCGCTTGATGATGACAAAACGGTGGTTCCAATGTTTTTTTTTCACATTATGTTGATTAGGAGCCTGCTTCGCGAACCGTTTGTTCGCAAAACAATGTTTTTTCTGGCTTTGCAAGATGGCTTCCCTCCGCAAAATGGCTTCCCTCCCGTCTCAAAAGGCTGCTTTCCGGATGGAAGCTTTGCATTAAATGGCTTCCCTCCCTTTCTCAAAAGGCTGCTTTTTGAACGGAAGCTTTGCATTACAGCGAATTAGAACAGCTGATCGGTGGTTCTCTATGGGCAATCTTCACTGGACAATGAGGTACTGTATTTTCCCCCACTGGAATGCATTGACCAGTTTTCAATGCATTCCAATGGGGATTCTTTTTCTGCTTGACGACAATTTCACTTTACAGTGATTTTGCTGGAACAGATTATAACGATTTTGCTTTACAGAGATTTTGCTAGAACAGATTATCGTTGTCAAGCGGGGCACCACTGTACTTCCATCTTCCTTCAATGGAAGATGCAATGCTTATGGCAATCAGTGAGTCTGTTCTGGAATTCTACCTGCCTTAGGTTCAGTGCTTTGATGCGTCTTTCAGCACTGAATTGTAAATTCCTGTCCTTCTCAAATTTTTAGGTTCAGTACTTTGATGCGTCTTTCAGTACTGAATTGTAAATTCCTGTCCTCAAATTTTAGTTCAGTGAAGCTCTGATTCTTGCAACTACACCAGTTTTACTTGTTCAGTAAAGCACTGATTCTTGCAACTACACCAGTTTTACTTCCCGTCATATTTCTTGCACCATCAGTTGTGATGCTTTTCAATCTATCCCAACTCAGACTGTGATTTTCTTCTGATTCACACACCTTCAAGAACATGTTGCTGGGCCTTTCAAACTCTGCAGAACACACAATTCTTCTGTAGTTTTGAAGTTAGAATCCATCCCCCTGATCAATATTAGTAGTTGAAGTGTCTATAATGTCACTGCTCTCATCTGATGCCAAAGGGGGGAGATCAAAACTGTTTCCTCGACCATGCAGTTCTTCTAGTTCTTCAACACACCTGGTGACTGTAGATGCAGATAAACTGACACAACTAACACAAGATATCTTAGCAGGGCACATTTTCCCCACTGCTTTAACCATGGACTTTTCAACCAATTTACCATCAGTGAATGGCCTACCACTCTTAGCAATACATTTAGCAACATGACAGCTGGCCCTCATAGTCAACAGGTTCTCCTCGATGTGCTTTTGAAAACTATTTTGCTGAAAAACCATTTATTTTTAAAGAGAATTTATCTTGTTCATTCTCACCTCTCCTTGATATACTGAGTAGCTCTTGCAACAGGATTCAAAGTGCCCCTTAACACTGTACTCCTTTAATACTGAGGCAGTTTTGAGATGTATCAGGCAAACCACTGTATCCATCCATGTTCAAAACAAAGATATACTCAGTAGTCCATTTGTAATTACATACATGGTGCTCATTTGCATTTTTTCCTTTCTTTGAAACTGCACTTTCTTTTGCAGACATCTTCTTACAGAATATTTAGCAGAGCAGCAATTGCAGAGTTTCAATATTATTTGCAATAAACAGATGGTGTGCGTTGCAGAACTCTACGAGTTAACTTCCTGCTTAATTTTTGTCCCCTAGGCCAAACTTCTGAACATTTGGTTCTGCTTTGCTCTCCCTCTTTTGCATTCTAGTCACCTATGATAATCAGCATGTCCTGTTTTGATGTGTGATCAATTTTTCTTTCGGATGTGTGCATAAAAGATTTTCAATGTGCTCTTGAACTACAATACCCAGAAGCCTTCACTACCAGCTGTGCTGGCTGGTGTTTCTGGGAGTTACATCTCAAGAACACCTGGGTTACCCAAGGTTGGAAACCACTGGCCTTGAGGGATAAGTATCCTTCTTCCTAAACCATGATTAACAAGAGGCTGCCCGTCTGCATGGAGCATCTCCTCCTTGGAGTAAAAATCCTTTTATGCCTCTTTGACCCCATAAAGAAACTTCTGGCATGGAGGAGGAGGAAGAGGGAGAAGGTTTAATTCTTCTTCACCAAACCGACTATGGGCCCATCTATCTTGAGCCAGTGGAAGGTAGCAAGTCAAGTGGGGCCTTTAGACAGCAGTAAAAACTAGGAACACGCTATTTTCTCCACCCCACCTCATCCCAACCTCATACTCATCATAGGAGGCAAAGAGGAATTTGCTGAGTAGAGCTTATCATAATGAAAGCTGCTTGCAAAATGAGTATTAGCTCAGAACAGAACTGGAAGGAGAATATTAATCAATACAGTAAATGGATGGGCTTTGGAAACATTAACATCTCTCTGAATCTATCTTCCTTTTTCTTTTTCCCGGGGAAATTTGGTTTCCGTTTCTACAAACTGTTTCTCGTGAATCTTCGTGACAAGATCCTCCTCAATGTCTGAGTCGGTTTGGCGAGACATGTTTGGTTTGCTCATGAGTGGTGATCCAATCTTTTAGGGCAGTGGTCCCCAACCTTGGGCCTCCAGTCCAGTAGTTACTTCAACTCCCAGCAATCCTGGCTAGCAGAGGTGGTGGTGAAGGCTTCTGGGAGTTGTAGTCCAAGAACACATGGAAGCCCAAGGTTGGGGACCACTGTTGTAGGGTCAAGTCAATAGACCTGTTGGCAGGGATGCTTCCAGGCCTCCACCTCTTGGACAGCAGCTCTTCCCAGTCTATCTCTCTGCTGCAGCCATTCTTTGGGAGGCTCATTTTTCAGGGGCTGCTGCTGTTGTTCTGTGCTGTCAAGTCAGAACCCACTTATAGCGACCCTAATAGGGTTTTCAAGGTAAGTGAAAGTGAGGCATTTAAGGAGCTCCACCCCCAATGAGTTTCAAAGGCAGAGCCTGGGAATCAAACTCACATCTTCCGAATCAGGATCCATTATTCTACCCACTACACCACACTGGATACCACGGGGAGGCACAGAATGTTTCCAAGCCATTTAAATGCCCAGGGTAAATGCCTTTAACATTTAGTAGACCAATGCTGCACAAGGCATACAATTGGAGCACAGCACATGAGAAAAACTGGGAACTGCAATGCAAGAAATGCAGCAGATAAACATTGCAGTGCTTGGCGTCAATGAACTAAAGGCGACTGGAACGAGACATCTTCAGCCAGACAACTACAAAGTGTTTTACTTTGGGAATGACAAACCCAGATGAGATGGAGTGACTCTGAAGCAAGATGTAGCACAGGCAGTTAGGGACTATAATGCAAAGTCTGACAGAATAATATCAGTCACACTCTGTGGAAAACCGACCAACGTAACCATCATCCGAGTGTACATTACCCAAGGTTGGGAACCACTGCTCTAGGCTTTTAGGTTCTGATAAACGGGCCAGCCCTTTCCCTCCTCATTTGGGGCAGGGCCCTCTTAAGATTGCTAGGAACTTACTGTTTCAAATACACCATTTTGCTCTGTTGAGGCAAAATGCAATTCCTGGTCTTCTTCTTCTCGGACAGCATCCATCCCCTCTTCTTCATACTCAGTCAGATAGTCTGACTCTTCTCCTGATTTACAGGCAAACAGAAATTTCATCAACCTCAAAAATATTAATTTCTTCACGAAAACAGATTCCACCCCTCAGGACAATCACCCACAGCTAATTCTCTAACTTAATTTTTTCCCCATTTCTAGTTGTGATCCACCTCATCTAGTGGATGAGTGGATCGATAGCTGTGAGAGACAGAGAACAAAACAGAGAGAGAGAGAGAGAGAGAGAAAGCAAAAGCACAATAATGACTGCACTGTAATGTAACAATGCATCCAGAAATTATGCACCAGCTGTGTTGAATTCTGATCACAAAAGACTCCTTCAGATGTGTACCAAATCCAGTACTTACCTGAGACTTGAATCCTGGTCTCTCACAACTAAATCAAGTCTAAGCCAGGGTGAATACGTGTTTCCCCGAAAATAAGACAAGGTCTTGAAAACATTAATTTCTTCACAAAAACAGATTCCACCCCTCAGGACCATCACCCACAGTTCATTCTCTGACTTAACTTCCCCCCCCATTTCTAGTTGTGATCCACCTCATTTAGCGGATGAGCGGATAGATGGCTGTGAGAGACAGAGAATAAAATGGAAAGAGAGAGAGAGAGAAAGCAAAAGCACAGTAATGACTACACTGTAATGTAATGTAACAATGCATCCAGAAATTCTGCACCAGCTGTGTTGAATTCTGCTCACAAAAGCCTCCTTCAGATGCGTACCAAATCGTTGCTTAGCTGAGACTTGAATCCTGGTCTCTCACACCTAAATCAAGCCTAAGCCAGGATGAATACCGTGTTTCCCCGAAAATAAGACAAGGTCTTATATTAATTTTTGCTCCAAAAATGCATTAAGGCTTATTTTCAGAGGATGTTTTATTTTATAGTCATGTCATCTTCTTCTGGTTGCTGCACCATGGTGGAGGCAAGGTTTCACTTAACCAGGGCTTATTTTTGGGGGAAAGGCTTGTATTACGAGCATCCTGAAAAATCATACTAGGGCTTATTTTCAGGTTAGGTCTTATTTTCAGGGAAACAGAGTAATCTGTGGCCCTCCCAATGTTGACAAATTGCTATTCCCATCATCCCTCACTACTGGGCACGATGGCAAGGGCTGGTGGGAACTGGAGTTCATCAATATCTGGGGGACAACAGGTCCCCCAACTCTATGCTTAAGCACGGATACTCACCATCAGCATAGCTGTCTGACAGGTAGCTTTTGGCGGGCTCAATGCGAGAGACAATCTCTGCCAGGTCTGTGAATCCTGCACTGGGACACATCAGCACCTGGGCAATGAAAGGAAGAGGCAGGTCTGCTGAGGCTGAACTCCCAACCAGACAGACAGACAGACCTTGGAAGGAGACAGGCTGGATATGCCCAGAAAGGAGAAGCTGGCAGAATCCAGGCTCTTGATAGTCTTCGTCCCCAAATGGCCTGGATTTCAATAGATTCTTCCAATAAACAGCACTTGCTTCTTTAAATGAGCTATCTGGGTTCTTTCTCTGTCCTGTATCAAAGGACCAGGTTAGCTTCACAAGCTATCCCGTGTACCTTCAATAGACACTATGCAGCATTGTCTTATCATGTGTTAAGATGGAGAAGTAACGTATAAACACGATCACCATGATTCACACATTAACCACAGTTGTGGAGCTCATAAAAATGAGGTGCTGCTTGAAGCTTAGCTGAAGGCCTGACCCATCTGTCTACAGTGACTGGCTGGCAAGGCCCCTCCAGGATTTCAGTCAAAGTATCTTCCCTATTATTATTGGGCGATGCCAGGAAGTGAACCTGGGCCTTTTTAGAAGCTGCAAAGGATCAGCTCAATTACTCACCACATTCTGGAGAGCAGGAGAGACAGGCAGCAAATGACCTATTGGTGCTGGCGTGTAATTTTCAGTCTACAGGCTCTCTGGCTGTGGCAGCTGGCTGGGGCCAACTTATTCACGTGCCGTAAACCTACTGCTGTTTTGGGATATCTGGAGCCTTGTATAATCTCACTTTTGCTATTGTTTTATATGTACTCCTTCCAGGTAGCTGCAGAAACTGCCTGCGGAAAGAGTCTCCAGGCAAAGTTGATTCTTCCCCTTCTGCTTCCCGTTCCATACTTACATCCATGCGTTTGCTCTCATAGAAATCTGCGGAGTGACGGTCCTTAACCATTTTTTCAATGATGTCACCTCGGCTCCAGCCACCAAACACCACTTTTCCATGTTGGTATCCAACCTCCTACGGGAGAAGGGGAGAGGCAAGGTCACCCACAGTACTCTTGGGCTCCAGTTAAAAAAGTCATGTTCCTCTAGGATTCTGGAGCAGACCCAAGACCCAGACCCGAGATTATAGTTCCCACTAAGGTATCACCTCTCACACAACGCAGGGCAAATTTCAGGACCTACCTCTGTACAAAAGTCAAGGGATTTCAAACAAATCCAAAAAAAAGTTATGGTAAGACTAGCAGCATGTTTCAGGGCGGATTTTAAGTTTCCCTGCGGAAGATGTTGCCACAGTATCCACACCTCCCTTTTCCCCTGTATCTCCAGGGGCAGTCCAGAAACTAGGGAAGGCTTAAAGGTCTGAATCGGTCAAGTATCTCATGTGGGGGTCTGGCCAGGTTGGAGACAGGACACATAGTTTCTGACTTGGCTGGGCCATCTAGGGCTTAAACCAGCATTTGTTTCAGTGTTTGGTCTTAGCCCTAGAACCTACAAGAAAGGACAAGTGAATGGGCAAACTCTATTGAGACACCTTAGTAATCAAGGAAAAGGGGCTTCTAGAGGAGGAGAAGGCACTGTTTTCATACAGCCATGAGCACCAGCATCCTTAACCCTGCCCCCAAACGTGAGCCCTGTGCTATGGAGCCTTCTCATTTTGGTGGCTAAGCAATCCCCAGTCTTGGTGAATCCTCAGCCTCCCCAACTGGCAGTCCCAGGTTAAGATTCAACATTGAGAATAATTCCAGTTCATCCTGGAATATGTGGCCGGAGGGGAAGGGATGAGAGAGAAGCTTTCAAAAGAAGGCTGTCTAAAATCTTGTCCAAAACAGGTGAAACAGCCTGTCTTGGATAGGGATCAGTAGATCATAGAGTCTGTCCCTCCTGGTTCTATAGATGAGCAGAATTAGGCTCCTCCTCCGCCAAGGGCAGCCCTTTCAATCCCCCCCCCATATCTTTATTATGAACCAATCCTGTTGCAACCTCAGGACTCACATAGATTTCGTCGAACTTGCCAAAGTCCATGGTTTTGAAGCGATCAATGGGAGGGCGAATGTACTCGCAGTAAGAGCTGTTCTTCACGACCTCTAACTGCCGCACACAAGAGACGTAGGCCAGGCGGGACTGGATCTCTGCCATGTCAGGCACCTTGAAGGGAAGAACAAAGTCAGGGGGCTCCAGAGATGCAGTGGGCAGGCATGTGAATGCCCCACTTGGAAAGAAGGGTGGCGTTGTTCCTTGAACCATCAGCTGAAAGCAGGAGACCAGCCCACAAATAATAGAAAAGGGGAATTGTGCCATTCTGGGACACTGCGGGACTCTGAAGAGGATCACAGGGGACTCTTTTTCTTCCCTCCCAACTGAGCTGCCAAAAACAATGGCACTGCCTCAGATGAGACTGTAAAGCAGTAGAAGATAACCTGGCGCATCCTCCAGATGGCACAGTCTCTGGCCACTGGGCATGCTGACTGGGGATTCTGGGATTTGTAGTCCATACTAACCAGAAGGCATCAGGTTGCCTCCCCCTCCTACAAAAGCTATGGCGAAATTTATAATGAAGGGCAAGCTGGGTAGTGATTGCCTAACAGCAGTCACACAGTCCTTCATTATGTGTGGGTGGCATCACAGGTCAGAGACTTTACTACTAGCAGCAACACGCAACAGGGGCATTCTAGGGACAGAAATGTACCGCTAGGAAGGCTTAGATAGCAGACTGTCCCAGCAAGTTGTGGCCGTGGTGGAAACTAGGGTAGGGAGTTGATCACAGTTTAGGCATCCAGAAACTTTACTGCATTTCAGTTGGGCAAAGGACAATGGAAGCAGGTCAAGCATGTAGCCCAAGGCCAGGAACACAATGGACAAACCTATTTTTATTTTGTTTCGCATGCGCACTTGTTTAGCCATAATTAGCTTCTATCACTGTCTTAGTGATTAAGCATAGCTTGCAAAGATTTATACTTAAAATGGACGTAGGGCTGCAATAATGGTCACTCTCATTTTACGCCGTTGCTCAAAATCCCACTGGAATTCACATCCTAGCTCTCCATCAGGCTGCAAAGCCTCCTTCTTCACAGTTTTTCAAAATATACACTTTGTTCATTCGCATTCTTACTGACCTGTACATAAACGTGTTCCTTTTTTCTTCTTACTAAAGTATGCTTATGCACTTTTTCCTACCGCACACATCTCAGCTGTGTGTTACATGCGTAATATAGTGCGGGCTTTTCTTCTTCACCAAAAAACCTTCCCAAGCTACAGAAATGTATGACTTTGTCCTAGTCTCAAGACCTGTGAAGTGCAAACTGAGTATGTTTGTAGGAAAAGAAAACCCAACAAATTCCTTTTCCTATCACTAGTTATAGGTCTGAAGGGCTAGAACAGTGCCATTTCATAAACGCCTTCTAGCAAGGGGCTCTGGACAATGCATGCAACTATATTCCACACTGTAGGTCCACAGGCAGATAACCTGGAGGTCGAATCACATTTTCCAGGGACAAAGTGGTTCTGGAGAAAATGGGAGAGAAATATTTCCTTGCAGGTGACAGGAAAGTATTGAGGAACAGAACCCACTCAGTTTATGTAAACAGAAGCCTGAGGCCCTTCTGCAGAGACTCTCTATCAGTGCTGGGGATTTGTGTGTGAAAGGGAGACTGACCTTGACCTTCTCGGCCCAAGGGTTGAGACGTTTCCACAGCAACCACCACCCGGACAGGCTGTCCCCATAGTTGCAGAGATCAGTTTCATCTTGGCTACCCACATCAATGGCAATGACTGTCTTGGCACCCATGTTGCGAGCAATATCAGCTACAGTGGGAGGAGAAAGAGATGCTTCAGAGGGACAGGCTGGGAACAACAGGCACGTTCTGGAACGACAGTCACGGAGCACAACCAAGAATAAGGCAACAGAATCAAACAGACAGCATGGCAAAGGATGAAAACATCAAAACCAGAAGTTGCCTTACGCACTACCGTTCATCTGAACCTTCGCTAGGTGTATATATATTGTATGTTGTGCAAACTTTGTAAACACAAAAGTCATCCTTTTGCTTTTACCAGCAATACTAATGGGCCCACCTATGCCATACGTCTTTGTACCAAATAGCTATTAAAAACACAAAAATCTGTGCAATAAACAGATGCCAGAGAAGACAGCTGGTATTATTCCCACCACCTGTCTTTGCCGCTGTTGATTACTCAAAAACTGATATTTAACATTTAGGCAGAGACCTCCAGCTAGACAGGGAAGCTCATTATGTACATTTAACAGTTCGCCATCTTCTTTTAGCAAGTTTGGTTTCTAAGAGTGCATGGTCTCTACTTTTCATTTGAGATCTGAATGTAAGTTTTTAACTTGCATTCATTGGATTTGGAATGTATTCATTTATGTGCATGTGCTGAGCCACGACCTAGTGCAGAACTGTATTGAGCATCCTAAGTTTGCATATTAAAGAATATGTCTTTTGAATTTTTATTATATTCATGAGATCACCTTAAAATCACTAGGGGTCACTGCCTGGTTGCCCATGAGAAGCCAGAGAAAGGACAGAGAAGGAAGGTGTTTCCCGTACATCGGACCTCCTGCACACTTAACAGAAACAGTTTCGGTCACAGAGCATGGATTTTTGTGACCTGGGTTCTGAGTAACAAGACATACGTGGGGTCAACAGTAGGATACTGTTGCACCCTTTGGCTGCAAAAGCAAGACCACATTGTGGAAGAACAGCCTCTCAGCTCAGCCGTCAGAAGCTGTGTGTTCGGTATCACTTTGTCAATACGGCTGCTGAGAAGTCTGGAGGAAAATGTTTACAGGAAGGCACAAATGCTAAAGTTAGAAGGAAGAAATCACAGAAAGAAAGGACGCAACTGAGCAGCAAGATTTGAAAAAAGTGAGAATAAGCTGGCAGTCTTTACTGTTGTGTAAAAGGTTGAGGAAAAAGGTTCATAAGCTTCACTGAATAGAAGGCATGGATCTATATTAAATGAAGTCAGATTTAGGTTAGAAAAAAACCCAGCCATTTCGCAAGACAGCAAACATGTAAACAGAGATGGCTAGCAATTTTATTGGTCAGCGGTGTAAAGGTGTGCTTCCTGAAACGGGGCTTGCCTTGTGGCCCATCCAAGATTGGTTTGAACAAAATCATCAGGATTTTGTTGCTTTACATACCTGCTTCTTTCAGTGCAGACACTGGGCAAAAGAGGAGGAACCCCATCATAAGATCATCTGCAATGCAAACTTCAACCAGCTTTACTTGAGAGGAAACCTAGCAATTATCACTGGTGGAATACTCGGGGCAAAACTAAATGCTACATAGGAGAGCCCAGAGACTTATTTACTGCAGTCTCTTTTTCTTTTCCAAAATCCGCATTGTCCTTGTGGCATGAAGGAATAGGGGTCTAAATACCACACCGTACCCCTCATTCAATACTTGCCCTCTCACTACTTGGGCAAAGCTGGGAAAAGTTACTTTTTAAAAGGCTACCACTTCCAAAATGGCACAGACATCATGGCCAAAGCCTAAACTGGCTGGTGCATGCTGGAGTTGTAATCCAAACCCCCAACAACTTGACCTGCTCCTGCTATTAGCCCTGAAAGCGGAAATACATGAGACTCTGCTTGCACCTTTTAGCTCCTTGAGCACCAAGAACTCTGCAAAGTGGATAATGGAATGGGTATAAGGGAAGTTAATTCCGTTTCCCATACTGTTACAGGGAGAATAGTAAGAGTGCCCTTAACGGAACTCTCATTCCCAAACTCACTCCAGTTTTCGACCCAATGATGCCCGTGTCATCTTAGCTCCCACCCAGCTCTCCTCTCTCCTTCTCATCTTCCAATGGGTATTGGTCATTTTTAAAAACTCCAAAGGAGAGGCAGATGATGGAGTCCATCCCATCTCCTCCCTCTGAATCGTTTCAGAGCCCCAGACGGACCGGAGACAATGCCAATCCGTGAGGAAATCTTCCTGAAAAGGCAATCCATCCCATGCTCCTGACTGGGCCCTGTGAGAGGCAGCCAAGAGTCCTGGAAAAGTCTTTTTCAGACCAAGTGAGCATGAGAGACAACTAGGAAGAGGGAAATGGTACACCTGGTGATTGCTGACACCTCTACGAAGCAGCAGGAGCGAGAGACATTTAAGATGAGAACAGTGTTCCTGATCCCCACAGGACAACCATTCCGCGAGGCCTTCAGCCGGCAATTCGATCAGAGGCGGCAGACTGCAGGGCTTCCATGCCCAAGGGAACAAAGAACTGGAGTGAACATGCAGGGCCAATTCTGAACTACAACCCATGGAACAATTTTAGTGAAGAGCCACGCTTTGATCAGGGCTTTATTCTCCTAACGTTACAGCCAAGGATCAAATCTGATGTGCAACGTGCAATGCCTTATCTTTAGTCTGCCCCACGCCTCTACAGGGAATTTTCTGGCCTGTTCTTCCTTGTGGGTCTTAAAGATGTTCAGCTTTCATGCATGAACTGATGATTTCAACAAGGGCACAACTTTCCAGAGAATACTAAATGGGAACTGGATGGCAGATGAACTTGGGAGGACAATTACTGTGCTTCCTAGCTGCAGAATAAAACAATAACACTGAGTTTTGAAGTATAATATGAACAGAGAAGCAAGTAAATGTAAGTCAAGCATTCTAGATGGCATTCATTTCTCAGAATTTCAAACTTCACCTTATGAGGTTTTTTGCATTTTCCCCTGATAGCGCTAGATAAAAAGAGACATGATACAAGAAGAGTTCACAGCAAATTCTCTCACTGCTGCATGAACAAGGCTTCCCAATGGACATGAAAGGCAGCCGTGCCAGCCAAGTGAAACCTGACTTTAATCATCCTGCTCCTCCACTTCTGGTAGGATACCTGATTTTCAAATACTTTCTTAGATCATTTAGTCATTCCTTTATTAAGTAAAAAAAGCTTTATAAATACTCTTTTTAAAATAGAAAAGCACGCTTAGGATTTATGTGCTACTGAAAGTATGGGGTGTAGGCTTTCCAAAGGTATGGGAGAACTATGGGAACAACAACAACAACAAAAAAAGAATTATGTAAGTCTTGGGTCTGATCCAGCTTATGGGAACAAAAAAAATGAATTATGTAAGTCTTGGGTCTGATCCAGCAGGATTTTGCTTACATTTCTGCAAATCATGAGCCCACTGAGCAATACACAGAAATGATTTCTAAGATGCATTGCTATGAAGCTTAATTGTGTGGATTTACTGCTGTGAAGTTACTTGAAAAAGAGCTCTTATCATGCTAAAAACAATAGCTCTGTTGTCAGTTCCTGTGAATCAATATTTACTGCATCGGCAACGGGACCACCAACATGTGAACTGTATTACTTGCTAGCTGGACTGCAGCTGAAAGTGACAACCTGGTGATTTCTCTTCACATCCGGTCATGTTGGTGTGACACCAACATGTGAACTGCATTACTTGCTAGCTGGACTTGCAGCTGAAAGTTACAACCTGGTGATTTCTCTTCACATCCGGTGGTACCTTCTCACACAGTCTTCAGCATGAATCACCTTTTTTCTGACCCATGGCTGATTTTGCATCTTTTGAATCACACTGTGAATTTGACCTTTTAAGTGATTATTAAAGGCACAGGGAACTAAGGTGAGAAAGGAATAACAGGTTTTATGAGCCTTTCCTGCACCCGCAGTACTACAAAAAAAAGCCTGTAATGACAGTGATGTTTACAAAGCCCTTCTGTTAACAACAGTGCTCTTTGTTATCTGTACGTGACAGTCAGGGGAGAGGATAGCTGAAGGACCACCTGCCCTACACAAACATACTCAGATCCGACTCCCAGGCAGACATGGCCTGTACAGAGTGACAGCAGGATGGTTCTGCATACCTGCTGCTATGGGACGTACACTTTCTGTATCAAGGGCTTGGAACAGGCTTTCCCTGGCTGAAATGTGGCCATCCCTGTTTATTGCCTTCCCTTGGTGAAAGGCTGCATTCCTGGCAAGAGATTCTTATAACTAACCGTGGCACTCCTGGCAAGAGATTCTTATCAGGCACATTGTTCTTGCATGAGAATCCCTACCAACCAGAGGAAACTGCAACATGAGCCTACATTAGACTTGCAAAGATGTTCAAATGGCAGTCCCCAACAAGGAAGTCTCAAAGTTCTTGCTGCTTGTTGATTTTCACAAGAAGAGAGGATTGTGCTTGTCCTTTTGGCCCCTCTCATGTTCTCCCACAAACTGAATGTTCACATTTGACAGTAACATGATAGGATGGAAGCAACAGAAGCCATCACGAGGCCAGGCAGAGAGGGGTCAAGAGCCCTCCTCCTCCTCCGGCCGCAGGTGGCTGCCCTGCTGGCTGCATGACTGGCCCGTACTTGCCTGGAAGGTTGTTGATGTAGCCGCCGTCCATCAGTAAATTGCCGTCCTTGGGGTCGCAGAGTGGCGGTAGGTACCCGGAAAGGGTCATGCTAGCTCGCACATACCGCCACAGCGAGCCTAACCGTGTGGGAACAAATGCAGTCAGAAGAGCAGAGAGAAACCCACAGCAGCAACGAGCCCTTCAGAGAGGGATGGAGAGAGGTGCAGCCCAGGCCCAGCCCTGCTCACCTGCTCGGGCACGGGAATTCTGCATGACCGCCCAGGAAAGAGGCCGCCGCTTGCCTCCCAGGGCGCCCCCTCCCCCAAATCTGGTCACCGACACCTCTTGGGAATTCCCCACTTCCAAATCCCACTTGGCTCATCATGCCAGAGGATGCTTCACATGAGCTCTCCGGGTCGTGCAGAATTGCCAGCCAGAGCAAGGTGTGCTTGTGGGCAGGAGCCAGGCTTGCAACCTCCAAGCCTGTCATGCCCAGCTTAGCGGGGGGGAAAAAAGAAGAAGAATGACAGTGGTTCGGAGGGAGGGAGAATGGCAAGAACACCCTGGCCCGCTGATGGCCTTCTCTGTCCCCTCGAGCCACAGGTGCCCCAGTGTCCACCAGCCAAAGGAGTGAGGCGAACGCAATGCTGACCTGGGACATTGTTAACATAGCAGCCATCCACAAGCAAGTGACTGTCCTTGGGGTCGCAGATAGGAGGCAAATAGGGGGTGTAAGATGCACTGGCCCGAACGTAGCGCCACACGCTGCCTGCCGGATGAAGATGGAGATTCAATCAAAAGGAGCAAGGGGGAGAGGGAAGAGCACGGGGAAGGGGAGGGGAGAGGAAAGGAGCAACGGACAGGAAATGACATCATGACAGAAGCTTCAGAAAAAACACAGTGCATGTGGGAGAAAGAGGGACAACGGGAAGATTCAGTGGAGTTCCAGGGAGTTCAATACCTATCTGTGGGTATTCAGCCCTTTCCAATTTTGTTCCTTCTTTCAGGCAGAAGCAGCAACACCCCCCTCCGACTCTGCCTACGTCCCAACACGGTGATGTTATGAAGAGCGGCTGCCAGGTGCCTCCGCGTACAAGACCAGGCTCAAGGCTTTCACCCTCTCCATCCCTTCAACTCCACCACACAGGCTTAGTGATGCAGCACAGCTGAAGCCTCTCCCACTAAGCTGTCTCCAGCAACTGGAACAGTTATGTCTTGGGACTACAACTCCCAGAATCCCTTGGCCAGCCTAAGTGACGGTTCTGGGACTTGTAGTTTGTAGAAGCAAAAACCTTCCAAGATCTCTTCGTCTCCTACCTACCCCTTTCCAAACGGCTGAGGCATTTAGAATCCATGGCTTTGCAACCACAAGGACGAAAGGCCTGAAATGAGAGAAACCTCAATTTTGGGGAAAGAGGGGAGTCCATGCTGTGTGTAAAAGGAACCAGGGTATCACACATAACTGGCATGGAGCCCTGTCCTCAGCAGGGCCCTTTATGAGCAATTAAGGGCCAAGACAGCCAGAGGACAGAGAGCTTCAAAGTGAGGAGGTCATTTTGGGACAGAAGCTTGTGATGCACAATCCTGTTAAAAGGAAGGAGAGTTGAGAGAGAGAGACAGACAGAGAGAGAGACAGACAGAGAAAGAAAGAAAGAAAGAAAGAAAGAAAGAAAGAAGAAAAGAAAATAAAACAAAGAAAGAAAGAAAGAAAGAAAGAAAGAAAGAAAGAAAGAAAGAAAGAAAGAAAGAAAGAAAGAAAGAAAGAAAGAAAGAAAGAAAGAAAGACCAGCCATTCTTTCAAAATGGCTTCAGTGGGAAACACATGCTAAGAGGAATGAGATAAGCCACCTTAATGTGTTCTTGTTCTTTTGGCAACAGACGTTCTGCATACCAGGGACCACCAGCACCACCATTGCCACTGCCACCCATCCAAGGCTTTGGAAATGGCCCTTTCTTGCCTGACATCCCACCCACAGGAGCCCCCATGGAAGGAGACCAGAAGTGTGTTCTCAAGAGGAGCAGCAACTCACAGAAAACACTGGAGCTCGAAACACCTGAACGACGGTTGTGCAGAGCACATCCCTTCACCCAGCATTTCTCCACAACAAAAGAGCGGCCTTCCAATATTGCTGAACTACTGCCGTTCCTAGCAGTCCACGCCCTCTGGCTGAGCAGGCTATGGCTGGAAGGAATTGTACCCTGGAGGGCAGCACTTTGTCCACCTCTTCTGCTCTATGAACTGCAGGTGAGACCAAATGTGCAGTGAAGCCCTCCCTCCACCAGCCTCGACACTGTGGCTCCATTGCAACAAATGACAATGCATGCATACACATACAAAGAGATAGGTATTTAAAACCTGGCTACCAGGGGATGGGGTGTGTGTGGGGGGGAGAAGGTGTTAGCACTGTTAGGAAGGACAGGAGAGTGGGCAGAGGAAGAAGAAAGCCAGGCAGTTACAGCCTCCCCAGTCCTTGCCCCACAGATGGGCATGGCTGCTGACAATGTCCCAGGTGAGGTCTAATGCTTGCAACAGTCCGCGCGGCAAGGAAGGGATGCAGCAAAACCCACCCCTCCTGCCCCCTCTGCCTCGGACATGATCCATCCCTCTCCGAAGATGATTTCACAGTCCATTCATTCACCACCTTTTGCTAGAGCAAATCTACCTCTCCACCCCTCATAGAACCCATCAGGAACAGAGCTTGGAAAAGGGATTGTTTGGAACGACAGCTCCCCAGATCTGGAAGCTGTTGTCCAAAAAAGTAACTGATGATTTCACAGTCCATTCATTCACCACCTTTTGCTAGAGCAAGTCTACCTCTCCACCCCTCATAGAACCCATCAGGAACAGAGCTTGGAAAAGGGATTGTTTGGAACAACAGCTCCCCAGATCTGGAAGCTGTCGTCCAAAAAAGTAACTTTTTTGCAAGCTCCAGGAACAACCAGCGACACCCACAGCCTCCCTTGAAACGCAGGGATGAAAACTCCAGCCCCGCAGCCTGGATGCTCCACAAGTAAGCAAAGGCACAGTTAGTGGGTTTAGTGAATAGCAGAAATGTTACTAAGGAGAGCAGACCCAAAGCTAGCTGAGGATGCCCACCCGAGTCTTGGCAAGCAATCCAGAGAGTTCCTTGGATTACGCCACACTCTCTTTGCTCTGCCAAGGGAGGGAAACTGCTAAGTGCCAGGGATATTGGCCCATCCAGAGGGAAATGGGGGATCCCCTGGATCACTCTGACCCTCTCGGCTTGGTTTTGGAGAAAGGTATAATGTGAATTACGCAGTATCAATCAAGGCCTAGAAATAAATAAAAACAAACGGGCTAGCCGTCAAAACCTTAAGTCAGATTTGGGTGGCTATTTAAATATTCCCAACTCTTCCCAGCCTGCCATTCATCCACCTTAAGGCAGACCCTGTCTAATTTCTGCCTGGCCTCATCTTTATGGAACTGCCCTTAGGGTTTGCCCCTTGCGTGAGGGCTTCTGGACAAAAGACGAGAGTGGGAATATAAATGGCCTGGCCGGGATCTTGGGAGAGGTCAAATGTCTGTCAGAACTTTGCCTGGACTGTAAACAGGGAAGACGCTGCAGCCAGAAGTCCTGGACAGGAAGGCTAGATACCTCACTGGCTTGAGCCGCCTAGAGTGGTCGAAATTACTAGATAGGCGGGGTATAAATATAATAAATAAAATAAATAGAGACCCTTGTGTGTACTCAGGTGTGCAGAGCAACAAGAGAGACACACTCTCCCTCATTGGAGGGAGAACCATGTAGTCTTCCAGCTTGAGAGCCTAGACTTGGGGGTCTAGGGGGGGCTACATTCATCTGAGTGTTCACAAAGGGAGCAGGGTTAGGCCATTTCTATAGACTCTGTCTGCACCCAACCCTTGCCATATGGTTTTGGCCCAGGCCACGTCCCCTGCCAGTTTACATGGCTCTTCTTTCGGGAAAGAGACAGCTGTCCTGGAAATAAAGGGTCCTTATCCCAGACTTCTCACTGTGCTTCGGACTGAGCGTTAACAACCCCACATGGGAACATGGGTGGTCTCCATGGGCCAGGATGCCGGGTGAGGAATGAAAACTGAAATATGGAAGCAGTGGATTCTGGACTGGATTCTGAGTGGGCAGCCATAGCTCTTCGGCTGCAGCTGGTTCACTCAGTCTTATGTTTCCCAGCACAACAGGAACCTCTCCCTATATTCGGGGGGGGGGAGATAGGCTTTTAGAGGCTACAGAGGCCCACCCTTTTATGCACCTCTATGCTCCACTTCAAATTATTCTCTTTTTTCTTTTTAAACTGGAAAAGCCTCATTGTACCTTCTAGTGGCTGGCAGGAACATGTCACCCATTTCTGCTGCCCCTAAAAAAAGCCACACCAACCCATTTACCTATTTGGGGCAGTCAGAACTGCCTCCTGCCTTGGGAAATATTTTTTAAAACTGGAGGATGTATATGGTGGTCCTAGGATGTGTGTGTATGTGTGTGTGTGTGGCGGGGAAACTGCCTCCTGCCTTGGGAATTTTTTTTTTTTAAAAAAACTGGAAGATGTATATGGTGGTCCTAGGGTGTGTGTGTATGTGTGTGTGTGTGTGGTGGGGGGCAGAAGGTTGGGGTGACGGCCACTTCTGGGCTTCTTAGGGGCTCAATTCCTAGACCTCCCGGGCGACAGCTGAACTTCAAGGCTGGGAGCAGAGAGAAGTGTGCAATGAACCTTGGGCTCAGTCATGCCCTCGGTGCAGAAGGAAGTTCATACTTACCATCTTTATGGACTCGCATGGCCGAGGCGGTGATGTCTGTTGTGACGTTAAAGTAGGGGAGCCACAGATCCTGCAGCAGACAGAAGGGAAGGAAACGGGGATCAGTCAGGGGACGCCACCTGCAAGAGGTGGGGGGAGGGATGGGGAAAGCCCCAAAGAGGAAAAAATCACTGGGGAAAGAGACCTTTTAAGAAATAGCTTCTAAAATTGTCCCGCCAACATGGAAGCATGTTTCATGGTGAATAGTGGGCGTTGTGATCCAAAAGGTCAGTTTTCAAAACTCTGCTCATACTTTGCACACGTCCTTTCAGGTCCTACATCCACAGATGAGAAAAACCTGGAGTCTGAATAACTTACGTACATTTTCCCAGTTACAGTGGTGCCTCACAAGACGAGCGCCCCGACTAACGACGAAATTGCATTACAATGAACTTTTTGCAATCGCAAAATGATGTTTCCTATGGGGGAATTTCGCTTTGCGATGATCGGTTCCCTGTTTGGGAACTGATTCTCGCGAAACGACAATTTTCAGCCAGCTGATTGGCGGTTTCAAAATGGCCGCTGGGTAAAAAAAGTGGCTCCCCGCTCTTTTCTGGGCCAGATTCCTCGCTGCACGGGAAGCGAAAATGGCCGCGCTATGGAGGATCTTCGCTGAACGGTGAGTTTCAAGCCCATAGGAACTCATTAATCGGGTTTTAATGCGTTTCTATGGGCTTTTTAATTTCGCATTACGTTTTCATTCTACAGCGATTTCGCTGGAACGAATTAATGTTGTAATGCGAGGCACCACTGTACCTAATTTAGCCCAGCCCTTGGCTATTGAAACACCATGTAACATGTTCATGTGAACAGGGGAGCACCCTGCTCCTGCCCCTTTGGTTATCATGTCGGTGGAGGCAACAAGCCTTCTGCCTGTGAGGTTCAACAAATGAGACTCAAGGAGATCCCCCATGGATGGGGAAAGTCTACGTTTTCACAGTCTTTGACTTCCATGTGTAACACCACGATGAAACTAGAGATGGACAAGGAGCAAGATGGAGCACTCCTCTCCATGCGTACTCTACACGATTTTTCAGGACTGAATACAGCTACTACAGTGTGCTCTAATTCTGCTCATTCTGGGGAGAAGACATAGCACATTCAGAGCACTGAAGCTCTAGTCCAGCTTCAGGAATTTCACCTAACAGCATTTATCTGATGCCAACAGATATATGATCATCTTCTTCAACAATGGATTCTGAACCAGCGGTTACTAAATTCTGTACTTATGCAAGCCAGACTAGGTGTGCAGTCTTTCACTGGGCATCAAGGGCTCCTGAGCCCAAATGTTTTAGCTCTAACACACAGCTCCCAGTGGCAGGGGGACAAAATTGATCTCCCCATCACAATGAAGCTAGTGGAGGCATACCTCGATTTGCTTGTCCTGGAAAACCTTGTGGATGCTGGTGTTGAAGGCAGAGCCAGAGAACATGGAGGTTATGGGGTACGTGAGGTCCAGCACAGTGGCAAACACTGAATTCATGCTCTGTGAAGGGATAGAGAAGGAAGGTGGGATGGCACACCAGATAGGAATAGGCAAAAAATCAAAGAGGTGACTCAAGAGGTCATAAAATCTGCTGCAAATTCAGGCTATTTGAAGGATTGTGTCGCTGCAAGATCTTAAGGGAGGACCTTCTTTGGTTCCACCACCATCCCAAGCTTGCTTGGTGAGGACATGAGAAAGGGCCTTCTTGGTGGCTGCTCCCAGGCTTTGGAATACACTGCTCTGAAAACCAGGAGCAGTATTAGTCTGTGCAAGCCTATTAGGCACAATCCAAAGAAACAAGATAAAACCATGTGGCACCTTGAAAACTAACTAACTGGCATCATCAGACATATGGAAACAGAATGTCTGACAAAGTCGATGTGTCCACGAAAGCTTACATTAAAATATAATAGTCTTTAAAGTGCCACATGTCTTTGCCTTGTCTTGTTTCGTTTCTTTGGATTCTGCCTGATAGACTTGCACAGACTAACACAACTACGTCCTCCAAAACTACCAGAACAATTTTGTGGCACTTTAGAGATGAATGAGTTTTATTTGATGCAAGTGCTTCTGTATCGCAACAACCTCATGAGATGCAAGTGAGCTGCAAACCACAAAGGCACCTTACAAATACCAAGCACAAGGTGCCAACTAGAAACCTCACCAAAAACTCAACTTCCTTTCTGAATTCTACAAGGCAACAATGTACGGCCATATCTCTCTACTCAGGTATAAATCTGCATGGAGCAAAATGAGATGTGCTCCCATGTAAGGGTAGATGCAGCTGCAGCCTAAACTGTTTAATCTGTTCCCTTTGCTTTCTGTCGCTCCCCACTATTCCCACCACCCTCACTTTGCCTCATTAGTTACTTGCTCACTTTGGCCCATTCTCTGGCTCGCTGCTTTGTGCGCACTGCACTCCTCTCCTCAGCATACAGGGCGCCAATGAAGGATCCAATTGAGGTACCACCAATCAGGTCAATGGGGAGACCAGCTTCCTCCATGGCCTTGATCACCCCGATGTGAGAACAGCCCCTGCAGGGAAGGAAAGCACCAGGTCTGAACCTCAACACACGAATGCCCAATGTTGTCCCACTCCTACCTGGTTCAAGAACAGAACAACTGGAAATAAATTTAGACTCCCCCCTCCCTGCACTCATCATATGACCAAGGACATTGGGTCTTCTGTTCTTATGGCTTCAGGGACCCCAGAGCCTTAAACCACACAGGTGCTACTGAAAGATATATGTTGCTAAGGTGAGAAAAATAGGTACTTCTCCCCATTAAGATATAGGAGTTTGGCAAGTGATGGGGGGGGGGGAAGTGCCAAGCCCCTTTCTGCCTAAGGTTACAAGGGGATGGCTCCTAGTTCTTATTTTCTTTGCTCAAAGAGTTCTAGGCGTCGCACTCTGCTACCACCCAACAAACATTCTCTGAATTCTTTGGAGGAAATTACCTGGCCCCACCACCACCCAGAACCAAAGCAATTGTGTTGCCTGTAAGGACACGGGCCAAACGGGAGAAGTCGCTGTGGCGATCTGCACTCTTCTCAAAAACTTTCTCGTACATCTCTCTCTAGAGCAGAGGAAAGAAAGAGAGTCAGTTTGACAGAAAGATGACATTAAAATTCCTCCACCAGCCTGGGAGATTATGTGGGGTGACAACGGTTGAGGGGATGGTGAACATAGGAGACTGTCACTGGGGACACGGGTCAAAAATTTCCCTTTTCCGATTTATTTCTCCCCCCCCCTTTTTTTTTTCTTAAAAAGGAATCAAGATAAAGCTGCTCCTTTTCATCAAAACAAAGAAGGCTGGAGGGAGGCTGGAAGTGTGAATGGAACAATGAGTCCGGGTAAAATAGGCCTATAGAGGCACGGCTTCAGTGAGAAAAGAAACACAGGACTGGACACCAGCTGAAGAAGAATCACTCGAGTAAAGCCTCAGAGGAAGCAGCAACATCATGACCATGCCGGGCAAAGGGGAGGGCTGGAACCGAGGGACAGGCTCTCAGCAAACAGGAGCCCAGAGGGACAAGTAAATGAGGGGTGGGGGTGGGAAACAGAACAGAGGCAGTTGGTACCAGCTTGTTGGGGCTGCGTCGTGAAAAAACCCTACGTGGACACTTGATGTGCAGATGTCCTGAGCACCAGCTGCGCATGTTGAGCCATTCAACCGTGCGGGCAGGACTGGGACCATCCTCCCGGTGCAGAAGGATGAGCTGCTTCAGGGCACGCACGGCCGTGTTCTCCAGCATCTGCTCCAGCTGCACAAAGAAAAGGGAATGGAAGGAGGAGAGACAAAAAAATTGAGCCCTCCGCCTTTGCTCGCACCACTGCCTAGGCAAGGCTGACCATCAGCCAGTTGCTCCTTCAACCCTCTCGCCCAGTCCTCGCCACCACCATGCCCAAGAAAGAAAGAAAGAAAGAAAGAAAGAAAGAAAGAAAGAAAGAAAGAAAGAAAGAAAGAAAGAAAGAAAGACACAGCAGTCGAAACCCTGTTCCATAAGTTATGCTCTGCAACACTGATGATGTCATCAGCTGTAGCAACTTTTCAGAAATGAAACATTTCTGGTCCCTCCTCCCCAATCCCGAAGTCTTTAAAGGCCCCCTATGAATCTTCCCCGTCATCAGGAATCTCTTGCAGCCAACAGGCTTTGATACTGAAAATCTCTGTTGGTGGGATGACTTTACTGTGGACAGCGATTTTTGGTAATTAAAAACTCTGCGACCAGCCCACAGCCCCAAATGGCTTCTTGATGAAAGCGATTCCACAGGAGCCTCGGGACGTTGGGAAATGTTTCAGAAACCTGAAATATTTTATTTCAAAAAAAAAATAAAAATAAAAAAAAAATCACATGAAAGCGATTCCACAGCAGCCTCGGGACGTTTGGGAAATGTTGCAGAAACATGAAATATTTTATTTCTAAAAAAAATCACAGCAGTTGATGATGTCATTCACTTTGCATGGCATGACGGATAGAACAAGACGCAGCTGATGATGTCATTCGCTTTGCATGGCATGACGGATAGAACAAGACTTCAGTTTAAGCCTGTTGTAAGACCAGCCACAATTGGACAACACAAGGAAGGCCAGCCAGTTTGCATGAGTAGCAAGGAACAACACAAACAAGCCAACAAACTAGTTGGCGTTTGATCCCTTCTAGTTGCTAACTCTTCCCATCTAACACAACAACATCCATAGCTCCATGACAAGAGAACTGAAACCCTCTATCTAGCTCTTTACCCCACCTCCAGAACAAGCCACCCCCTTAAGGGAAGAGTCGTGTTTCCCAGGACCCAACCTTGGGGTTTTTGTGTTTTTTATGTTTTTTTTTTTTTTTCACATGGCACTCTTGAGGGAAGAGTCTCGTTTCCCAGGGCCCAACCTTGGGTTTTTTATGTTGTTGTTTTTTTCACATGGCACTCTTTACCTCACCCAGCGTGGGTTCTTGGTCTCCCAGGCCCACAATGAGAATGCAGTCAGCTTGGCGGATACAGCGTACTGTCCAGGGCGTCAAGGTATAATCAGTCTGGTACAGCACAATGCGATGGATATCCTCTTGCTGGGCCAGCCAGCCAGACAGTCGATATTCATGGATGCTGGAGGGAAAGAAAGGCAGTAGTACATTATTTTTTCCCCATTGTATCCTCTGTATTTCCAGCATTTAAGAAGGGGAGTGAGTGACAGGAGTGAAGAAGATGGGTGAAGAGGGTCCAGAAAAGCAGCCATACATCTCTCTCTTCCTCCTGTTTCTCATAACTCTGAAAAATTCACACCGCACGCCTCTCCAGCAACCCTAAAACTGCCCTTCCCAAAGGCTCAACAGTACACTTTTATAGGGGATATGAGCAGTCACTAGGCAAGCTGTTCCCTGGTGTCCTTCCCCTCTTGAGTGTGTCTTTTCCGCCCTGAGACGGTGGAACACCATCCTTTACAACACAACACCTGAAGAGGCAAAACGCATGAACAGGTACAACATCCCACCGCATACTGTGCCTGAGGTTCATTTCTCATAGGGCAACCTTCTATGCTTTGTGCAAACACGTCTTTGAACTTGTGCAGCACGACTGGACAACCCTCACGATCCCTCACTACCACTAACAATGATCGGGATCATGGAAGCTGCAGTCCAGAAACATCTGGAATGCCATAAGTCACCCTATGTTATTATAGAGAGTACACACAGTCCAATGGAGTCCCCTCGGCCATAGACTCTGGGGGTGGCCGCAAGGACATTGACCCCTTCGGTGCTCTTGCTGGAGAAAGTTGCTGCATGGCATGGCAATAAAAAAAATTATATGTCCTGCAGCAGGATACAGAAATAATGTATGCTTCCCAGATACCTGCCATATTTGATGCCATTAGAAAGACCCAATATGGTCAGTGATGACTGGGAGTTCATCACTGGCGAAAACAAAGCAACTCACGATGCACCAGTTGAGGGGTGACAGTATTTGGAGGAAGTCCTGCTCTACTAGAGAAATCTGAGACACATGTCAAGTATTCTAGCTATTTTGCCAGGGAAGATACAGTGGTCGAATGGCTAAAACAGGCAGGATGGAGAGAAGCAGCGGTATGTAGACCTTCCAATTTACGACCAGGTTCACGTGAACAACCATTACAATGCAAGTGGGCATGGCTATGGCCTGAGTGGATGCTGGCAACATTTCAGAACCAAAGGCGCTGGAAGCAATCGCTGTGGGTACAAAGAGGCAGAGGGGCCCTGCACGGAAGCAGGCGGAGTCACAAGCGCTTGCACAGCCGCACACCTTAGCGGCAACTCTGGATGTAGGCTATGAATGTTCCATCTGTGGGTGCCCTTCCAAAGGAGACCTGCCTGGCAACCTTTTCAGTACGTCTCAGATTCCAGGCAAAGGCCTCCTTCTTCCAGCAAACATTCAGTCTTTAAGTTACTGCTGGTTGCTACTATTTGGATTTTTTTTTATTTAATAGGCATGAGTTCATTGTTATAGATCTTTTCTCTAACATGTTTTAAAATCTTCATTTCTGTGATTTTGCAGTCTGGATTGCATTGACTGTCCTTTTTTATAATTTTGCTATTTTACTGTTTTTACAGCAAGGTTGGTAATCTGTGATTTTGCAATCTGGATTGCATTGACTGTCCTTTTTTATATATTTGTAAAACAACCCACACTTTGCCAGTTGGGCAATATATAAAGATTTTTTTAAATAGAATAAATAATACAAACTCTGCGGTCATGGACATGCTCACGACACAGAAAATACAACATGCCCACTTACCTGTCCAATGCTGATGCCCCAAGACGAGCCCGTATGATGTCGCTGGTGAGCAACAGGGTTGGGCCTGCGAAACCAGAAGAACACTGGTCATGACTGCAAAGACCAGAGCAAAACAAGAGAAAAGAGAGAGAGAGAGTCGACAGCGGAGCTCACCAATGGCGTTCAGAGCATGCTTCAGTTCCAGGGTGAAAGCTGCCATTGGCACTTCAGTACACACTGGAAGGACCGCCACCGTCGAGAGGTTACTAGCTGGGTTGGTCAGCTCTGAGCTGGAGGCCATGCCAAGACCGGAACCTACGCAAGAGACACGTTGCCACTGAAGTGCTCAGCCTTGCCCTGGGCGTTGTATGCTTAGCAGCAAGACTCGGCACACTGCTCAAACCCCATTTCTCTTTAATGCCACAATGTGGAAAAGCACGGACGCTCTCTCTGGTGCCCTGTGTGAGAAGGCAGGGGAAGTGCAGGCAATCCTACCTGGAAAGGGGCCACGCAACTGCTGCAGGTTGCCCAGGATCTTCTGACTCAGCAGGTGGATAAGGCGAGTGACCACCTGTTGTAAGACGGAAGCAGGTTGGAGAGTCAAGAGGAAACAAAGGCAGAACCCTGAAACTGTCGCCTAACATCGCTTGTTGGCACACAGCAAGGCACCCCAAAGGGCAGCTGAAGCAGACTATGGGCCCCTCTTTCTGGGCCTGCTAGAGGGATGACGAGAGCATGCGCCATCAGAGAAGCACGCACCCTCACGTTTCCCTTAAGGTTCAAAGTTTTAAAGGAATAAGCAGCCCTCATCATAAGGATTCATTTTTGGTCTCTTGTTTGTTTTCATCTTTTTATTGGGTGTTCATGTGTATACCATGGAAGGCAGCCCATCTAGGAGAAGGAAAGCTCCGATTTCAAACTTCCACTGCCTTGTGGCTATATCCACTCATGGAAAAGGCTTCAGGAGTTAAGCTCGAGGCAAAATCCGGAGCCGGAGTCCCGGAGGCAGTTCATGTCATTCTGTCAACTCCTGCGACGTCGCTGGAACCAGTTGTATTGGCTCCTGCCTTTCCATTGGACCATTTCAGCAATGTGGAGAGGGGGGATCTGCTGTTTGGGTAACAGCCTATCCTCCATATTACTTTTACCCGGGCTTCATGCTCTGGAGAGGACACTCCTCGATGCAGAGCATGTTACCATAGTCTCTCGAGACTGAAGGATACCTATGATGTATATACATACATATATGAATACATGAAGACTTGATATGTATACATACATATATGAATACATGAAGACTTCAACTGTGGTGAAAGAAATCCCCAACCTGGCTACACAGCGCAAGGATGCAAATTCAGGTCCCACTAGAGAACTTAAGTCTAGATGTTGAATTCCCGACGACCCACCTGAGGATAACGTCTTTTGATATTACTGAGCGTCCCTTCTGGGAGCTTAGCCAACTCTGTATCCCTCACAGCATGAACGGTGGTGGCTCGGACTTGGTGGGTCAGGGCTTCTACCTGAAGGCAAAACCACATTACGGATCACAGACGGCTCATGTCAAGTAGCTTCCGCCTCACGACTCCTAGCATGCCCTATGATATTAGGGCAATCATTGGGCAATATTATTTCAGGGGAAAGCAAAGGTATCTAGGAGAGATCATGGCTAGGGAAAAGCAGAGGTGCTCAGCTAGTGAGTTTTCTCAAGCCTGGGCCAGAGCTAGCAGGTGATACTGCAGCTCGTGAGTCCATCTTAAACTAGGGTACCGCTGCCTCTTAAGCCCAGAGAAGAGAGGGGAGGTCGGGGAGGGGGGGAGGATTCATCTCCTACAGTGAATCTTTGGCTCCAACTTATAGTGTCCAGGAATTACACCCCAAATCCCCAGAAGAACACCACAATGGGCATCAGCATAACTTTAGCGTCTCAAGAGGATCTACCTCTAAGTCTGATATTTCCAGCTACTCCGAATGTTTTGCCACACTTCAGACCAGGTAGGAAAACAGGGCAGCTCAGGGAAAATTAAGACTCTCTTGTCAGCAGCCAGCTCTTGCGGGCACAAGGATTCTCTCCACGCCAGCATCTATAACCCTCTTAAGGGGAGGAGCTAACCTGTCACTCAGAGCTTTTTGCCCCTTAATTGCCTGTTGCTCTGAACTTTAGCCTTACATATTCTTCTTACTACCAATCACACCATGGCAGTAAGTGTTTGAATTTATGGCTTGTGAACGATGAGGAAAGTGTGAACACCTGGGGACAACAGCAGGTGGCATTTATGCCGCATCACAGTTATCCAGGTGAGTGATGCAGGTTCGTTGGCCAGCGTCCCTCTCTGAGAGCCAGTTCTGGTTTTGTCCCTCTTACTAGGACTCACCACTCCAATGAGGTCACCACGCCCATACTCTCCAACTAGCTCCTTCTTGCCATTGCTCTTCTGGATCACAGAACGTAGCCGCCCATTTAGCACAATGTAGGTGCAGTCAGATTTGTCACCCTGCCTGGGAGTAAAGGAAAAGAAGAGGAAAGGTAATCCTCCAGCAGGGGCTCTGTAAGATCATCATCAACATGGCTTTTCACTGCAAGTGCCACAACATGCTCTCATCTGTGCTCATGCTTCAGATATTAGCTCTATTAGAAGAGTGCCCCTCTTTGCCTTAAGAGTCCAAGTGCTAAGCTTTCT